TACATAAAAGTACAATAGAACTCATTATCTATGTCTGGGAACATTTATGCAAAAAATTGTTCCTTATTCGTCACGTGTCTATTGTATTTTGAACAAATAAACCAATAATAAGGTCTGAATTAACATGTTGTTCAAGTCACGGTTGAGGAGCTAAGCCAAGCCACTGCTATTGGTTAGTTGGGCTAAAATACAATAGACATGTGACGGATAAGGAACCATTTTTTGCATAAACCTGGACAATAACATAGATAATGAATTGTATTGTACTTCCATCAAGTCTCCAAACCGTGTATATTCTAATAACTGTGTTTGTGGTGACTTCAATTTTCCTAAGATTTGCTGGGAATCGCCAGAATTAACAATTGGCGAGGAGGAAGTCGAGTTCACTGAACTTTTGAACGATCACTACCTAACACAAGTAAACCTATTCCCAACAAGAGGCAACCACATCCTCGATCTTGTTATCTGCAGTGTTGCGGAAAATGTTCAAAATATGTCCTTACTCAACCCCAGTCAGAGCGGTTAATAACCGACCACTCGACAATCTCGTTTGACATCGCGACAACGTTCAAAGCACGGCCGAAAATAAAACGATCTGTATTTGATTACAACCGAGCGAACTTCCACGGACTTCGTGCAACTCTAGAGTCGGTCGACCTTTGCGGTGCAGTTGAATCAGGAGTGGACAATAACGATGGCTGGGTGAAATGGAAAGAACTATTTCTGAGTGGTGTACGCGACAATATTCCAGTAAAACCCATCAGCAACATCATGTAACGTAAGGTATGACGTTTGAGAGACTTTGAATTGACAAAATTCTGTTGATTTATAGGGACTAGGCCATGAATTTTGACGAATTTTGCATTAAAAAAATACAATTGGCATTTTTTAGCTTTGTGCCCAAATCTAAAATTCTACAACTTTATTCTAACAATGCTACACGCCTTTTAAAAAACATTTCTGTGCGAAAGCCTTGAAATACGATGGATTGCTTTCACAGAAAAAAAATGAGATTGCATCAGTTAAACTCTCCCATCAACCAAATTGTTGTGATATGTTCATGTAAATCTCATAACTCTAATTCCCATTGTTTACTCCGTACTTCAGTAGTTCGGTTTTTTCTAACCATATGAATTTTATTGTCTTGCGCATGCGCTCTGCCGCATGTTTTACACGATTACACGTGTTATTGTGCATAATATTGTGCATTGGGCAGTTCATGGTAACATCAGCAATCCAGAGGAGCATCCTTTTCAGTCCCGGCCCAAGGGGGCAGGGGGGGGGGCATCTGCGTTGATGACGAATCTCTTAATTCCACATCTCAATCCTGCAATTGTATTGAATTTATATAATTACCCTAAAATAGCCAACCTTAGGGTGATTATGAGCAGAAATAAAAATCTACGATAATTTTATTGTACATGTCTTCGAAATTGTCACGTGATTGAGGTCCATAGAATTATTAGGATTCTTCCGTTTCGCATTACATCAAGTAGGCCTACATCATATCCCTAGTTGCGGACTTACAGTCCCGGGGAGAAGTAGTTTTTACTATTAAGAACTCTTATATAAATACTATCAATACGAATATTCGCACCTCCCCCAAAAGTGTTATCGCTCTTGCTGAGGATTAGAATACATTTTAACTCTTAAAAAAAAAGCATCTCCGTTTTGGAGATGATTGATGCCCTTTAAACACATTCTGCTAAATAACAGGAGTTATATATATCGGGCAAATTTGCAATAAATCAGGCATAAATCAGTTTTTTACTCAACCTGTATTTGTGTGTTTTTCGGTAATACGTGTTATTTAGCCCTTTTTATTGCCAAATCTTTATTATTGTATTCTCGTTAAATTCGCTTGGCAATTGGTCGAACAATTCAGCATGCAGTCAATTATGCAAGGACTGGTCAATGTAGTGGTTTTTGTCATATTCTTGGCTTTGATGCTGAAGCTACTATGGTAGCTCGCGAGCGTGAGCGAGCCCCATAGTTTGGTGGCTAGTCGAACTTAAACGCAATGCATTATGGTGCGTACGTGCGTATGTACACGGAAATTTTCTACAGTGATTTAAATCCTATCTTTCGCAGTGCACCGGCTCTTTCAGTCCTACTCGTATACAGTGATTTAGAGTACATTTTAAACTTGTCAAGACTAAAGTGCAGATATTTTTATCAATTTCTGAGTGATCAATGCGAAGCCCGGTTTCAATTTGATTTTTGCTGAATATTGATGCAATTCTGTTAGAATTAGTTCTGACGATTTAGTCATGTTATGCAAAATTTATCAACCTTACTGCAAATATTTACAACGTTATAATAATAGTTGTGTTTTGGAAAAAATCACTAAAACTTAGCACACCTGAAATGTGAAACCTAGCAAGTGGTGGCAGGAGGTTAAACATCTCTGTGGAAATAACAAGATTAATACAAGAAACCTTAAAGACATGCTATCGCCAGACCTAGATTATGATGAAGAAGTTTTATGCGAAAAAATTAATGAAGCATTTATAAGCGTAATGCATGATTATTCTCCTTTGTCACCGAATGTACATGTCTCTATGGATATGAATGAACCATTCATCGAAGTTACAGAAATTGAGGTTGTAAAAAAATTAAGAAAAGTCAGCCGTTCAAAAGCCGGAGGCCCTGACGGACTATCTAATTGGATACTAAAAGATTATGCGGATATCCTTTCACAACCAATTACCTTAATCCTAAATGTATCCTTCCAAAACAGCCATGTTCCCAAATTGTGGAAAATTGCCGATGTCGTTCCCTTGCCTAAGGCGTCGACCATCAAAGAGTTTACACAGGATCTAAGACCGATTTCACTTACTTCTAGTCTATCCAAAATCGCTGAAGAATTTGTTATTGAAAAAGATTTGAAACCTGTCTTGTTAAGATCTATCGATAAAAATCAGTATGGATTTATACCTAGATCATCAACTACTCATGCTCTCATATCAATGATTCATCACTGGTTACAAAGGACAGATGGAAAAGCTGTTGTTGTTCGTGCTGCCTTCCTGGATTTCAAAAAGGCATTTGATATGATAGACCATAACCTTCTGATAGCCAAGCTTTTAAGCCTTGGTGTCAAATCCTTAACCATCAACTGGCTTATTGACTTTCTCAGAGACCGACAACAGAGAATAAAACTTAATAATCAATGCTTCTCTGGCTGGAAAAGTGTACCGGCTGGAGTGCCCCAAGGAACATGTCTGGCCCATGGCTCTTTGTAGCCATGATCAACGACTTAGAATTGTCTGGAAAAACGGACTCACTGATGTGGAAGTTTGCAGACGATACCACTATTTCCGAACTAATTTTACAAGATCAAGAAAGTCATCTACAACAGGAAATTAATCATATTGCTAAATGGTCGATGGAAAATAAGCTGACCAAAGAAATGCAAAGAAATTACTATGTGTTTTAGTAAGACCTTTCCAACGTTTAAAGTAGTAGAGGTAGACAATCAACCCTTCGAAAGTGTTCAGAAAATAAAAATTTTGGGTCTTACGATGAGAAATGATTTGAAATGGAACGATCATATCAATGACATTACTAAAAGGCAGCAAAGCGTTTGTATTTCATCAAGCAATTAAAACGGGCTGACATAGCCTCAAAAGACCTTGTTTGCTACTATTGTGCTATAATAAGATCAATTCTAGAGTACTCCTGCCAAGTGTTTCATTCTAGTTTACCAAAATACCTATCGGATGAATTGGAACGTGTCCAAAAAAGAGCAATGGGTATAATTTTTCCTGGAGTCAAATATGTTGATGCATTAGAGAAAGCCAATATTCCAACCTTATTTGAAAGACGGCAATCTCTATGTACGAAGTTTTTTGATGAAATCGTGGATAACAAGGACCATAAACTCACCAATTTATTACCGGAAAGAACCAACGGTATTAATAATCAGTTAAGGACAAAGAGAACATTTCAAACGATCAAATGTTATACAAATCGCTTTAAAAACTCTTTTATGCCAAACTATTCAAATAGACACACTTCTTAAATGTAATCTTGTAGCATGTGATGTCATATAGCTTGTTTAGGTTATGAACTCTAATTTTTAATGCTTGTAGTTGTAAATATATTAATAACTTTTAAAATATACATATTTTTACCATTCATATTGATGTATTATACATGTAATTCAGTCTTAATGACTGCGAGATGTATATTTATTAAACGATTTGATTGATTGATTGATTGATTAAACCAGTTTCTTTCCTAAAACTGGCAATTCTCTCTATTATCAGAAAAGGTTAACTTTCTAACATCTTCATGTTTGCGAGAGAGAGAGTCATAAGAATATATTTGGTAGTAACGTTTAAGACATCTTCAGACTAAATGATAAATTACATGATAATTTGAATAAGTAGACGTCTAGTAATATATTTACAAGGTATCAATTTACAAAAGGTGATAACAAGGACAACGTAAGGACAAGCGGTACATGAGGGGACAAGGGACAGAGACGTCACGACACGATGACAATACAAAGTAAGGACTAAAATAAATTGAGAGGGATAGAGTTACCTTGAACATTAAGAGAAGGCTTAAGTTTGCTTAAGTTTGGTGATTCTCATGTATCATTAGCTCATAAGAGTCAGATGAGGAAGAAAGGATTCTAAATTCGTCAAAGCTAGCCGGGTGTCTGCAAGCCTTTAGGTGCGAATGTATACTGGACATAACAGGGCTTGAGGTCTGTTTACCAGTGATAGATGATACTTATGCTCTGATATTCTGGTGTGTAAATGACGCGTGGTTTGACCCACGTACGACGCGGAACAGCATCGACATTTAAATAAATTAACTACACCAGATCTCAGGTACTTAGGGACTTTATCTTTGAACGGAAAGAGTGAAGAAAGCCTTCTAGTGGAACGAAAAACAAATCTACCATCCAAATGCGGAAAGGCGGCGCTACAAAGACGGTTTTACTGGGTTACACTCTATTCAGATTCACACTCAAATCAACCGTCTTTGTAGCGCCGCCTTTCCGCATTTGGATGGTAGATTTGTATGGCAATGCTTTGTAGACCTTGAAGTTATTCGAAAATACGCTCATATTAAAATTAGTATAAATTTCGAGGTGACTATTGATTTTCCTGCGGTCTGATTGGTGAAAATTCACTGACCATCATTGCTACCTGAATAGTTAGCATTCTTACATAAATCTAGTTCGTGTCCGTGCATGTTCTTTTGACTGTGCAACCAAATTTACGATTTTTATGCAACTGCAAGCACAATATAATTTTATTGTATATAGTATCTCCTATGATCAGTTCTACTTCTATTGCGCTTAAAAATACCATATTTTCTCATCTATCGTTAGTACTACATCCAATCTATAAATAGGAAACAACTGATTCTAAATGCATGAAATTCAAATTTAACATGTATTTTGTTGTCTTATTTTCAACACAAACACTTTTAATGAATCTATCTAGTCGTAGGTCCATGAAGTACGAGAAGTCTTTTGATTTTTCTGGTTAAGGCATCAACAAAACCCGCTCGGGTATGCTCTTTGCTGTGTGCCTGAAAAATACAAAAACATCACAATCACTTTCAGGGGCCGGTTGTTCAAAAGCAGGTTAAATTTAACCCAGGGTTAGTTTTGAACATGTCTACCGTTTGACGTTGTTCAACTTATAGGACAATAACGTCCATGGTTCAACTGGAATTTGACTTCAATTCAAGGAGTGAGATTAGAAATGCGATCTTGCAAGCCGGTGCTAGTATATCATATAGTATCAATTGCAAAATATGATAAAATACTTTATCAGCAGTTCATTCGAGCATGACTGTGCTATACCTTTTCTATATCTCGAAGTTTTCTTAGAAAGGTGTCGGTCAAACAAGTGGATGCTTCAGTTTTTAGCTATATCGATAAGAACAATTGCCATGTTAAGAACGTTAATTAAGATTCTGTGATTCACAGAGGTCTTCTACCGCATGGGATTATGTTGTTTTTAAAAAGTATATTTTAAACAAAAATTGAACGTAAAAGAAACTCATGTCATAGCAACTTCGGATGTTCTTTCATTTTGAATTAAACGCTCTAGAAAAAAATCATCTTATTCTACTATGACGATGTTACACACTTAATCTGCATGACGATGTTATACACTTAATCTGCATGACGATGTTATACGCCTAATCTCGTACCAAGAATATTTTTAAGAAATTCACATGAAAGACCCTGGGATTAGGCCTACACGTGCAAAACTAGAAGACAAAAACTAAAAGCGTTGAAATAGAGTTGGTGATAATCTGGCAATGTGGTGATAATCAATGTCGGTGATAATAAGGCAAGACGGAGAATTCTGATTACAATTTTATATCTGATTGCAACTTTATATCTTTCACCTTTTCAATGTCAGCTATTGTTACTCCAGTATGAAATTTACTATGCAACTGCCCACGATCACTTGACAATTCGTCATCATACAAACCATAATCTGTAACAACATAAATTGAAAATATCGGTTAGACAAAGAATACACGGACAGCTCGTTCATAGCATCAAAATATTAATAAATTTAAACGTTTTGCTTTTGAATATAGCAGTGAGCAATATTTTCCTTCTATTAACTATATTAGTTATTATGGGAAATCAATCTCTTTAAGCCGTTCATACGTGAGTGCTACTAGAGGAACATATATGGAGTGACACATTCTAGAGGCAAACAGGAAGTGCAATTGTCACAGAGGTTTTCTCATAATCAGTCCCAGAACATTTGAGTTATATATAACATAGACAAAAACCTTGAAGTCGCCTTGGTTTGGTCCTCCCTGCCAATGAACTGTGCAACGTGGACATCTCGCGATCAGAGGGATTACAGTACAAATAGTAATACTCCAGGTGTTTACATAAAACGAATAATGAGTTCTCGATAATATCTGTATGCGTTAAGGTATAAAGTAGTAGACAAAAATATTGCATTGGTAATCATAAGGTAATTGTAATTAACTTAGGTAATCATGTTTGAAATGATGTTTGAAATTTTGCTAAAATTGGCGAATATAGCGAAGCGAACAGTTAAATCATATTAAAATCTGGAATATAATATGTTGAACATTAAAACAAGACATCGTAATCTATAAAATTTTTACTGGTGTCATCTCGCGCATGCTCAGACGGATTTCACTTATGTTTATGTAATTATACAACAGACAAACAAATACGCTTGAGAAATATTTTAAAGGATACATAAGTACATATCGAGTTCATCATCGCGATATTTGACAACATCTCGAAGACATTTGAAAGCCAGTTGTTGTTTTTGTTGCGTTGACATTCGCTCGGTTAAGGATGAATATTGTAGTCCAAACTAGTAAAAAAATTGCACAAAATAACACAAATTACAAATGTGCGATTTCTGTGTAACTACTCTATACCTACTTTGACTCTAGAAATATCCCTATTTGATTCAAACCAGCGAACTCCAGCGGAGCAATAAACCCTTTCGGCCATCTTGAAGGCAAATTGAAGGGCAAATCTTAGTGATAGTGATTAGTTGTTCGAAATCCTGTTCCTAGCTTATAAGCCTAACCCTGGGATAATGCATACAGCGGGGGTCAACAGTCTGTGTCCAGTCGATAATTTTTCTTCATTTACAATAAATGATATCTTGTGAGTTGGAAATTAGATAGGTCGATCTGAAGTTGCGCATTGTATGATATAGTAATGCCTCCCATATGTTTTCTAGTTAAATCTCACGTTATTTAAGTGGTACAAGAAATGCGGATTTTTCTTTTTGTGGATCAAACCAAAGATGCCAAAAGAGTTTAACGAAGGAAAGTGGGGCCAGATAATGGAATCAACAATGGAGAGATATGTCTCAGCGAAAAATGATGATGTTACATGTATCAAAGGAAAATTGCGAAACTTTTCGTGAATCAGGTTAGTATTTAATCAAATGAAGATCTGGGAGACCAAGAGCTACTGCTGGAAAGGAAGTTGGAATGAAAGTATAAGGAAAACTAGTGGACCATCCTTAATAAGTGTTGGAATAGAATTGAACTAGAGTGCTAACAAAACTGGTTCACTCTATGCAAGAAAAGGTCAAAGCTGTTTTGAAACGTAAAAGAGGTTATACGAAATATCAGAACAGCGCCAATTTGTGTTAAATCCTATAACATAATTGTATGCACAGTCATGCAGTGCTGTCAGTATATCAATGTGACAATACTTTTGACCCCCACTACATGTATAAAAATCACATTTTGCAACAGCCATGTTGTTTCAAAAATCTTCCACGGTTTAATACAGATTTTATTTCCCTAAAGTGTTGAACAAAAAGCCGTTCAGAAATGGAAAAACAAAACAGTCCCGGGTAAAAATTTAATCTGGATTTAGCTTCGAAACCAGAACAGTACGAAACTCTGTGGGTATCGTGCGAACAGTTGTTGTGATTTGTACTGCACGGATAGTGTAAACTATAGTTCATATATGCCTCTCTCAATTCTCACCTCTCTCAATTCGTCCATATTGAGTTCATCAATGTTGTTTAGTCTGTTGCTTGCTTGTTTGCTCGCTTCGACACAGTCCAAGACCTTGTCACTGCATACCTTGAGATTACGGACAATAATAGCAAGACTTGGTCGACTGCTCGTCGCATTAAGGCCAACAGAAACTAAACCAGAACGAAGGACAAACTATATAAAAACTTCTAAACCACGTAATAAAATAGTAAAAATAATAACTATAGGTATATGCTATGGCTTTTTTAGTATTAGGTAATAGCAAATGCTTCTATTTGAAGACAAAACACTTCTATTTGAAGACGAAACACAAATGAAAGTTAAATCAACAATCTTTGGTATATACAACAGTGGTAGAAGTAACATAAAGCTTTATCATACCAGATTCCCAAAAGGAAAATTCTTTCGAAAGAAACAATCAGTAGCTCGAGTAACAATGTTGTAAATTGAGTCCACTTAATACACAGCACGGTTTTTTTGTGTAATAAAACGAACCTGGTCTATTGAACAAACTGTCTCTGGCATACACGTCGGTCAAATTTGGAGCGAAGATAACTCGACAATGGTTTGAACCAGGAACTACAAAAAGCAATCCATCGAAAAAATCCGTTAAGATCATAAAAATATGAAACCCCCCGGCTTGTGAAAATTTATCTTTAAGACATTATTTTATCGTATAAACACTCACAAAATCGACACTGATAAAATATGCTTAAATATACCTCCTGAAACGACAACATTTTTACAGTAGGTAATCAAGTTGCCATATATCTGCTGCAATGTTTGGTAAGTTTCAAGAGCAACGACATTATACTGCAATGCTTAAACGCTGCCTCTCTTTGCCTCTCTTGCCAACATCAAGTACATCTCGCACAATCTAAAGGTAACGAAGGAATGGAACACCAACATCAATGTTTTGAAAGCACAATTGAAGGTAATGGCAGGTGAAATGCGGTTTTTACTGCAATTAAGCTCCGGGGATATTCTAATAATCCATAGTAAAAATAGCGGCTCGTGTTTTACACGATTCAATTCCATATATATAGCTAGGTTTGGAATCTAAGATCGTTTCTCAAGGCATTTTTTAAAACCATGCAGGAATTTTTGTTGGACTGGAATAAAACTAATTTCTTTTTTAACGATTAAAGTTAGGAAGGCCCACTAGTGCCGAATACTAACTTTATCCCAATTCTCGCGCACGCTATACTTCGGAAGAAGTGCCAACATGAGCCTTTGTATTCTGGATAGTGGTGCTTTGAACTTCATTATATCGTCCAACCTAGTCTCCTCCTCCGAGAAAGAGTCCTCAGTGATACCTGACTTGCATATTATACCACTGACCAGGTACAGTTCATGTAACGAAGACACAGTTACTCTGTCTGTTTGCTCTTGTAAGATGTCTGAAAATACTTCTGAATGAGCGACGATGAAATGTAAGATCTAAAACAGAAAAAGGTCAGCTCTGATTAAACCCCTGAATAACATTCAGATGAAGACGGAAATTGAAATATATTTAATGCGAATTTAAGACGCCATCGATACGATAAAATGACGTTTTTGAGACAACTCATAAAAATAAAAGCCGATTTCGAGAGAGCGAAAATTGTTCTAATTAAAGCCATATCAGCTAATCTCGGAACCAAGTTTACCTGCATTGAAGCTTCATGATGTTCTTGACCAAGTGACGTTAGAAGCGATAGAGACATGCGCAGAGCGGGGATCAATAACTGCTGATATCGTTCCATAATCGAGGGAATAAATGTATCACCCGAAGACGTCATCGTAGGCATGTGATCAGATGAGTGACTGGAGTGACGGTGCGTGTTGAAGTTGCCTGCAGACCCATTAGGACGAAGATCAATAAAGCGACATTCAGAAAGACGAGACATCACTCCTGCATTCAGCAACGCATTAGCACCCTCTGGTGTCTGGGAAAGTCTTGTCAATAGAGCCTGCAAAAAAATTATATGCAATGCCAGATGATGGCCCCTACTATAGCAAACATAAAAAATTTGTTGCGTCATATTTCTTTAGTTTAACCGACAGGTATATGGGCTCCTTTCCCTACGCACATTCATTGACCTGCTCATGCATAAGCTATTTTTTCATAATAAAGTGATAACAACTGATATGAAAACATTGTTTGGAAAAAATTTATTGACATCCTAGTCCTAGACCCACTTTCCAGCATGGACTTCGCTTTTAGTCACGCATTGCTTTCTTATGATAACTTACTTAACTCAAACATCAAAAATAGCCCAAGGAATACAATTTGCAGTAGTCTGAGATGAAAAAATTGAACACTAACAATCCAGGATTACCGGATTGGTTTATTTCATTTGTCAGGCAAGGGGCACACTAACGCCAACATGTATTCGTTGCTTAAAACGCTCACGATGACTGAAGCCTATGGCTGTCACATCTGTGTGACAATAATGCTTTGTATGATGTATCCATAACAAATAAGAGGGGTTCTCTTTGTTAACATTCAAAGCGTCCTAAAATTACCTGGCATGGTTTTTTTAAAAATCATCTGGGTAATCAACAATGCATGTGATAAATCACAACTTGGGAAATACTTTGACTACAAAATTGTTTAAAGTTTGAGATGCATGGATGGTTGAATTCTTACCATTCTTGATTCGTAGACATAGAGGGATTTGAGAGGTTCAGGACTAGGCCGCAACGCATTTTGTAAGTTCTCATCCTCCTGGAGTAGACTTTCAATATGATGCCGTAGATAGCCCTTTGTATTTAGAAACTGCAACCAGCGATGGCGCCAGTCGATTGCTACGATCGAGTCGAGTACAGCACACGCTAGCATCTAAATATGATAAACTATATAAGTACCATCTTGTCTTGCGAACCTTGTAATGTTATATCTGTATCAGTCATGTTGAAATAACTCTGCCCAATGATGTTATCGCCAACAACTTGGAAGCCAACAACGTAAAAACGCGCTTGAAAACTACCATGGAAGATTTTAAATAAAGATTTTTAGCGCAATAGCCTCCTAAGTTAAATAAAAATTCGTAGAGTATAATTTGAAATGCGAATTGTCGTTAAAAATCGTAAAGTGTAAAATTAGCCTGAAAAAAGATACGGCATTTCAGTACACTATCCACCGTAATTTGTTTCTTCACAACTCTAAAAGTATCATATTTCTGATTTCTTTAAAAATCTCCAGGAGTTGTAGGTCAGCGTTCAATTTTTATAGCTCAAAATCAAACCTACCAGCTGTACCTATACATGATATTTTCCATGCTCAATGAATCATCGCACCTAAACTTCTCGATTTGTTATCGATAGAGTTTGATAATCTTCAGCACAGCATGAGCATTTGTAAAGTATTTGTGTAGAGATTCAATGGTACAACTCACCCTAGTAACGTCATGACCATCACAAGAGTCACGGCAAACTATCTCCATGAAGGATTCGCCAAAACTTGAGATAATTTCATAGTTCTTCCTTTGAAGTGCCGTATCTGCAACACGTGAAGCATAAATTATCTATAAGATAATTTTTGTACCCAACACAATGCAGCGACGTTGGCATAGCTATGTATAAACTAGACTATAGCGTTTATCTGTTTAGCGTAAAAGTCTGATAGTCGAAAATACGCGAGTATTAGACTTTCTCACGAGGGCTGATATAGTGTAAATGGACCTTTTGCATAATAGAGCAACTTTTGATTTAGGCAACAAAAAGGAAATGTCCGAAAAGTACATACTAAATTTGGTAAAATTAGTTTGGCTGCAAAATACTGTAAAGTGCGGAAAATATAGCCATGTGCGGTTGGCAATTTTATATACTTTTTTACTACGGCCGGAAGTGTGTAACTAAATTATTTAAACGCTTCCGGCCGTAGTAAAAAAGTATACAAAATTAGCTCCTTTGCATGGCTATATTTTCCGTAATATACTTGACATTTTGTGGCCAAATTTGGCGATTATAATAATTACGGTATGCTCTTTTTAGCCGTGGTGATTTATTTCCTTCTTGTTACCTAGATCGTAAGTTGGTCTATTATGCAAAAGGTCCATTGCTATAGTCTTTTGCTCTGTAAAGTACTTAACAAAATAAGATTGAAGACAATTGCAAGTCCGAGAACTCGAGTCAACCGGGTTGTTTTCTTATATGGCAACATATTGCAGCTTAGTTATAAATTTACAACATCTCATAAATAACAAAACAACATTTAACTTTAACTGTTATGGAAATCACACGCCCACTCACCAAGACTTTCACGCCGGTCCTTCTTACGCTGACCAATCTGCAGATAGTACAGCAGGCTCCCGTATAGGTTAGCTCTAACACGTTGGTAATTCCCGCTTGTTTTTAACAAAGCTTGAATGAGACTCTGAAATATCGCATGTAAAGGTTCGGTCGGAAGATCCAGTTCCTCTGTTTGATCTAGAATATAGCAAAATACAATCAGGTTAACTCCCAAGGATGGACCTGATGCATAATGACGTAAAAAGCGGTGACACCTGCAGGGAATTCTGCTTTTTGTTGTCACGGCAGGAAATTTAAACTTCACAATTTATTGCAGTGACTACTAAGACCAGAACTCCTTGGAAGTGTCAAAGCTTGTCACGTCATTTTGCATTTTGGATGGTAAAAACGGACACTATAATTCTAATTGGAATGCTAAATTCATGGTTGAATAAAAGTTAGTTTTCTTTTTAAAGTTAGTTGAATAAAACTATAAAAGTTACCATCGTCACGCCATGCTGACGCAACAGTGCCACGTGACGGCAGATCCTCTCCAGAAGGCAAGGTAGACTGGCGTAAATGAGCCATCAATGTTAGCACAACCCCAGAGACTGGGGCGATTAATTCAGGTGCTGAATTTTCATCGGACATCTGAAAGCAACCAACATTATCAGGTAAAACAATCCTGAGGCAAAAACACACTGGCAGTAGCCGTAATTTAGAGGAGGGTTGCAGTAAAAACACATTGGCAGTAGCCGTAATTTAGAGGTGGGTTACAGTCGCTTATGCGCTGAATATAGCACTATTCATCAGATGGTGGTTTCTCCAACGCTCTAAAATTGCCCGTACGCGTTGTTTGGTATAAGCTTGATTAAATTTTGGTATTCTTAAATAAGGGATTGTTTTTAAGAACTAAATACTTGTTAGCTCCAAATCTGTAATTTCATTGCTTTTCAAGCATGTTTACAACCGTTGGAAAAATCACTATCCAGTGGATAGCGTCAACCAGCTTTAATACAAACTAGCCGACGTAGTTAGAGTGCTACAGAAACCGACCACAGAGGAATAACAAACTGCTCACCTTGTTTAACAGATATCGCATGAGATCAAAAATAATCGTCTGTTTAATTTCACGATTCAACAACTCCGGAGGGCAACTTGCTAAAATCACCTCAACTAACTGTCGCCACGACTCAAACGCGTGTTGCTTGGAATAAAGCTCTTCTCGAAAACGATTTCGCTCCAGAGAATAATTCATAATTCTCTTCACTTCCTAAGGTGTTTTAAAAAGGAGATTGTTAATCTTTTACCACCACATTGTGTTATGAAACGGGCTATTAGCTGTGTGGCTCTATAGGCAAAAGTTAGACATGGTTGTCCCCCTAGTATGACGTTTGGGATTCTGGTGCCATTCCAAATTTCAAAATCATTCTCAGAATGACATGCTGGGGATCCCCTTGACTTACTCTATCAAATTACATGCAAGAAAATACAGTACCAAACTTAATCTTAACCCTTTCTTAATCATCTCACATGAACCAAAAGATGCCTCTGCACCTCTGTGGCCGGTACTTGCACCGCCTCTAGTTCGGTCATGAGGAGCCTATGTAGCTTACGTAAATTCGTATAAACGAATGGTAAATCACTATTGTTTTCATTGCATGAAGTAATCACGGCTTCGGTGGCTGTTGGTTCAAAATAATTTAGAACGCTTTGTAGGGAGGATGGAAGCTCGTGATTGAAATTAATCGAGTCAAGAATTCTTGTAAGTTTCCGGCTTCCACTGCTACCCATAGTGCTTCGCGACAGCTCTGTGTCTTCTAGTGGGTCAACCACGAGTTCGGAACGCTGTGCATACGATATGGAAGGCTCCATCAGTAAGGACGAGAGCAAACGCTGTACGTGTGATCGCTGGCGCGTATGCGCTGTCAGTCGCAGTTCAGTGGCGATACTTTTGAGAAGCCAAGACTGTTGGTTGAGCTTATAAGATGTATTACCACGTTCATTATCTTCGGCGGGGTGTATGAGTTCCTTTGGAGGTAAATGGACGAGATGGGAGTAAAAAAAGTTATGGCTAGTACGTAAATATCGTATCGAGGCCTCACTAGTTTCTTTATTTTGACACAAGGCGTAGATGAGTTGGAAGCACAACTCGGCGAGACGGGGGGCGTCATGGATGACACCAGGACCACGGGGAGTGTCCAGGCCTTGGTTAAGGATGTCGAGTATGGAATGCAGGCATGTACGCGGTGTACCAAGAATACCTGCGAAATAACCATATTAGTAATAATAACATCACGGTAATGTATTACACAATTAACATTACGTTTGGGATCGTGTGTAAGACTGGAAATAGTTGATTCCTTAAATTAGGGAGCGAAAATTACAGGATTCTTGAGCAAGTGGCGCTAGTGTAAGCAAGATGAAACATGCTGATAGATTAAACAAAAACGTTTTCTAGATCACCAAGTTCGAATACCGATAAGACACCATAATGTTCTTGTCGAATGTTTCAGGCGTTCGGCCGTAGCAAAAATGAGTCGCTCATTGCATCGACTGTTCAAGCATTACTCTTTTTTTAAAAAAGAGTAATATACCAGACACTTACCAGGATCTTGTAATGTCAATTCCTGTATCGGTTTTCGTCCGTGAAATCCAAGTAAATAATGTGAGAGATTCGGGGAGCGTAACTTCAAACAATACAGCAAAAATCGAACAATATTCTGGCGAATGGCTGCTCGGATTTGGCTGTTGCTTGCGTACCCTGCATCAAATCCTAAAACCGTTTGTAAAAATAGGTCTCATCAAATGTCATAATGTTTTCAAGCAGTTGAACAAATCCACGGCAATATTTATTATCAGGCCCACACTATGGCAAACCTCTAGCCTAGCGAAATTTGAAATCTACGGCTGTTTCAGCAAACCCTACCGTGGCAAACCCTACCTAAGCACAGTAATTTGTTGTTATGTGAAAGCAAACATATAAAAAACCGAGATCGTAATTATTTTTTTTTGTTTTACAGACAACATTCAACAGACAAAATGCAATTTAACCAATTTTATTGGTTACGAAGTCAGTTACTTCTATATGAAATATGAAATGAAAAAAAAGATTCATATTTTAATGAAAATCGAAAAATTACGACGAAATCCGACAAGATTCTGGTCTCCAGTCCTAATTGCTATGCGCAAAAACATGGATTCCACAGGCGACTTAATGTGACAGGGCGAGACAAGAAGAACAATGTATATATAATCCCCGAGCGGACGCGGAGCGCCCTGCGAAGGTACTAATTCCGCTGGGAGATTAATTACACCCGGGTATTGTGACATAACATAGTGGAATCCAAAGTTGCCCAAATTCTATGTCATGGAACGTGGACGTTCAATGGTCATGGTACTTGTGCGCACGCGCAAAATTTGAGCGTTTGAGCGCAAAATTTAAGGCCTTCCATCATCGTTTTAACTTCAAAAAGAGTTCTTAAAAGTGTAATTCGGAGTTTTAATATGACAAATATCACAAGCTTTTATAGAGTCGACTGCAATCGCTGCACGAGTTCAATAATCGAAAAACAACATTCGACGTTTACTGCTTGGTTTTGAAGGTTTAGCCATAAGTATAGCCCAGAAATCTGTTTGTACTCAGCCTTCGACTACATTGCTTACGCGCGCGATCAGCTTTTACTGTCTGAACTATATAATTACTGTATTATATATAGATTTATTGAAAGACCCACCTACTGTACCATGCTTGAACACGACGCACCGAAACGAAGTTGAGCGCGGCGCTTAATAACGGGCACTACCTCGAGACGTAGTAACAACGCGTTCAAATTTATTGAACAATTTTCAAACCGAGAAAATGCAAACGGGACACGAGGTCCCATGCAAGGCATTCCTCCGATTCCATATACAAAAACAAATTACACACAGAAGAAACATAAATAATATAGCTACACGCATCGAAGGATAGTTGCCTAAGATAATTTAAGAAACACCTAAATAATTTAGAATCAGGTAATAGCATATGTTCTTTTCGCATGTTAATTAAGCTCTATGACATGAACAGGTTCTATGCAATGACCATGTACGGGGCATGTCGACGTCGTAATAAGACACAGGGACCTTATAAGCATGTAGGACGGCAACACGACGACGACGTGGCTGGAATACTCCTTTAAATAAATGTTATGATAAAGCGTTGTTGTATGTTATCAACTGTACCAATTTAATGAGATATTAGACGTTGAAAACATTGTATTTACGTTTAGGGACAATTCTATAGAGCCTAACTCGAGGTAGCGCTCACTGGGTCCTGAAATGCAGACGTTCTACATAGGACGTAATAATTAAACGACGTTTTGCCGTTGTAAATAGAACCTAGATCACGTCTAAAACTCCCATAGGTATTTAATGATTCATTTCTTTTCAATGAAGCATTGTATTGATAGTTGCTGTCGTGTTCCCGTCCTACATGGTTAAGGTCCCTACTAATGAATGTAAATACGTTCTTGAGAAAAACGATCTGAACATTGCCAGGCTACGTAGGTCTGACAGACACAGTTCCAGGTAGGAACGATACGATTAAAAATCGACGATTGGAATGTACTTGTTTTACATGAGGGTAAGCATTAAACTAGGGTTTAAACAATTACCAGTGCGACCATAGGTAGCCCAGAAATATATATTGATATATCAATATATAATACAGTAATTATAGTACAGACAGTACAAGCTGATCGCGTGCGTAAACAATGTAGTCGAAGGCTGAGTACAAACAGATTTCTGGGCTTCCAATATATGGTTTAGCTATAGTGAAGTATTAACTCTCACTTAAACTGTGAAAGTCTATAACTTCAAGCAACGTAATGCAGCGGGAAGACGGGTAATTTCACTTCACCTTTACGACTGTGTTTGTTTCCGAAAAATTTGAAACATCAGCTATCGGCTTTAAATTTAGGTCATTTCATAATATTGAGGGTTAGGTCTGGCAAGCTTAGGATATATTTTGCTTCGTTTGAAATGGCGAGGGGTTGCTGCATGCATGTATTTCTAGTATTTAATAAATGAAAGCATGAAAGTGCATAGAAGATCTTAAAAAAGGTGCCTCTCTTTATAACGACACCACGGTTTTTTTCGAACGAAACCTACAAACAAGGTCTTCGTTACGGTTTGACATGCACATTAAAAAACTGCGTTTTAGAGAACTAAGACTATGTGCACACGGTAACGTTTTCGAGCGTTTTCATTTTCGTTTTCATGCCAAAACGGTTTGAAACACCGTCAATTTACAATAGAAGTTGAAGCTAACTTATAAGATAAAGCATATTTTTCCTTGGAACGTGTGGACAGGGCGTCAAAACAATAAAATGGACAAAAACGATTTTGAAAACGCTCGAAAACGACGCTCGTGTGCACATAGCCTAAGTGCGGTCTACTTTGTCAAAGTTTCACAGTTTGAGAAGTTAAAACAGTTACTAACACCTAGACCTTATATTTGCTTTTATATTTATAATTTTATCCCTTAGGATTTACGACCTATTGTATATCAACAATTCAAACTGCAATTTGACAACGTAAAACTTTCTTTATGTTACCTTTGTCTTCATACGATCCATCTCCACTAGTCTCCTCGTGTTCAGCGGTATCGAGGTGATCAACAAAACCCACCAGTAGCTCCTGCGCTCGTTCCTGAAAAAAAAACACATTTTAAAAGAGTGCATATAACTGGGTGATTGCAGAGTCTATAGTTCTTAAGTCTTCGTTTCGTGAATTAAGACCAATGTATATACCTTATTAGTTGTAAGTCTGTTGTAGATTTCTGGTTGAACAGTCGGGGTTTGACAAACCAAAAAGAGAATCTTGACAGCGACTAGAGTAAGTTCTGGCGAGGTATGAGTGTGGGTTATGTACCTAAATGACAAAAGGCAAATAAATCCATAATCCCATAGAAAAGGAGCCACCGGTCGGGTCAAGGCAAATGCAGTGGATTGTTTTTACATTTCGGCAAACGATTCTTCAATCCCAGTCGCGTCAATTATCCGTTAAAACGTCAAGAGTTTACCCAACATAGCTTAACAAAACCCGTGCTATAATGCTCGCATTGCAAAATTGTTGAAGCGATTCCTTTTTGTTTCTCGATACATGCAATAATGAAACTCACCATTCAAGAGATACATATATAACATATATTCCTAATTTTTATATTTAGAACGACTTCCAGCATTATTAATTAGGTAATTCATGATTTGTCTGTTTTATTTACGGAAAGTAGTCTATATGCCAATGAACGGCATTACGGTGGGAATCAGTGGTTACGCAACATTGAAGCAAGACGATGTTATTCGTTTTATACCTGGAAATATGAGTGATACTATCAAAGCCATGAGAACGCACACTCACGCCAAGCAGCAATTGATCCAACGAGGACACCAACACCGACGAGTTTTGTTGTCGTAAACAACGCGTAAACTCTCGCTGCTTTTCCATCGTTATTTCGACCATCTTGAGAGAAAGTAAGGCGCTCATTTCAATGTCATCATTATTGCCTAAGAAAAATAGAAAAATACCCATGGTATCTGGAAAAAACTGGTCATAAGAAACCCACTACTTTTACTTTATTTAAACTAATTCGCATGCAGCGAAATTTCAGTTGACTTTAAACCCCTGGGACCGGTTGTTCGAAAGGCGTTTAGCTTAAACGGTGGATAAGTTAAGAATGGAAAACCAAATTATCTATTCAATTTTGAAGTTATCCACCATTCAAGCTCTCCCGACGAGGCCTCTTACACATAGCAACGCCGGGAAGTTTATTTGTATACTATATTTCATACGCATGCATTTGCTGATCCTATCTTAAGAAAGACTATACGTGAGATAGGAACACATTTGCTGTTCCTATTATTCCTACCATAGTATAATATACTACTTGCTTATTTAAACGACGATCAAAGCGAAAAAGAATAGTATTTAAACGCCGTTGATATATAATAAGGGCATAACATACCTTGAAATGCAGTAACTTTGTCAAGCAGCTCGGAAGCTTCATTAATTATCGACAGAATCTACGAAATGAGGATATTAATGAATGATCTCAACATATATTCCTCTTGCACCCATGCAGTATTAACTGTAGACAGTAAATTGGGAAAAGGTGAATGAAGCTATTTGGCGCAAAATGATGTAAAATACGTGTGATCTAAGGGGAAACATTTAACAAATAACAGCTAGGCAAGTCGTATTTCGAGAGAGTTATACGGGACTTATCAATTACCACGTGCGTTATTACTACGTTTGAGGTAGTGCCCGTTATTAAGCGCCGCGCTCAACTTCGTTTGGGTGCGTCGTGTTCAAACATAGTAGCCTAGGTGGGTCTTTCAATCGCTCTTAAATTGCTCCTGTTATGGTACAATTTGAACTCAACCTTTTAATTCTTTAAGTGTTCTCATTCTTTACGTTTCTTTTATTACTACTTATTACTTTGTCTACAATTTCATTACTTTTCAAGCATTTTTCAATGGGCTTAAAAATGACTAGCCTGTGCATAACGCTATACCACCGCGGCCCCTGGGTAACATAATACTCAAAATATTCAGTCACTCGCATGCGTCGGAAGAGGCTTCTCATACAAATTCGAAAAAGTGAGAACAAGCAATTTAGATCAATAACCAAGATCGCATGCAAGACACAAGTAAAAAAAGGACGTGGATATAAACTTACCATTTTCAGCATTGCTGTTTCATTCAGCATATGTACCATCAGAGTATACCCAGGAGACTTGGCGACCGTGACTCGTTCCCTTCCACTGATCTCTACATAATCTTCAGACATATTATCGGAGCTGGGTTCATGCTGTTCAAGCAGTTGGACAAATATCTGCAAAACTCCACTTGCTACTTGCCACTAAATAACGTATTACAAATAACGTATTACAAATAACGTATTATAAATAACGTATTATATCAAAATAACGTATTATACGTATCGTGTTAATCGGTTGCTTAAGGTTATATTTTTAAATTTGTATGTGGTGTGTTTGCATCGAAATTTCTGGGCATGCAGAAACTGTAAAGCATTTTGCTATATTAGGTATTTGGAAACCTCCGTTCAACTCGTTCGAGTATATTGGCAAATGTAAACATCTAAACTGCTTTGTACAGTAGCCAAGAATTGAAGGTATTTTCCCAGAAAGTTGTTTAAATTGCCATTTTGTACTTGTCAAGCTGAACTGCTGATTTGTTTAAAGCGCACGGATACTCAAGAAAACACAAGCCCGCACGCCGCCACCTTGCTACCCTTCATATTTAGCTACGTTTCCTGAGGCACAGTAAAGCTCGTTTTTCTATTAAGGGCAAAATTGTTCCCGCGGATGTGCAAAGCGGAAATGGTTTTTGAAAAGCAAGTTTGAAGTTTTATTTGCTCGTGTGAACGTGCCAACAATTTTGCTCGCCCACGCTGTCTGGCGCCCACAATAGCATTGATTATGATATACGAAAACAGCTTCAACAACGTATTACCTTCTCATTGGGATCTACGTAAGCCCTTGCTTTGAACTTCAGCAGAACTGAATCGCGCAAGAACTCAAGATACGGTGTAAACCCAGGCACTCTGTATCCAGCGCCCAGGTTTGCAGGTACTGGATACTGGGTAAGGTTGCCCAATAGTTTTATAAATGCGCGTGTTTCGGGATAGGCCTCCCCACGTGATTCAATCTCCTCAAGTTCAGCCTATAACAGAGAATGCAGTTATTTCAATGGAAATCGGCCGAAATATCTTATACTGCTTTTAAATAGCTTAAGTACTACTCCTAGTTACACATTTTTCATATACATATATGTATAAGGACGTTAAGAACATTAATTTCTCATGAAAAAATGAACACTAGGTGGGACGGTACACTCATAAGAATATGGGTTTACCCAGCTGAATAACTCACTGGTACAATGATGGTACATGATTTTCAAGTCGTACACAAAGCAAATACACAAATGACCAACAGAAACAAGTCATTGGTGTCAGACGTCATACGAAAGTATACTGTATAACAGAACTTTTATATACAATAGTTATATACTAATAAAAAAGAACGTTACCAAAAGCCCTCCTTCTTGCAAAGCGTGTCCAACGGGCTTAACAGTTTGTAGTATCTATATAAAGTAGTAGAAGCCTAAACTAAGCACATTTTTTTAATTATACACACATAAATTATGTTGATGAAAAACGCCAAAAGTACAAAAATACAACTATTTGAAAATAAAAGATACAAAGATAAAAGATTGTTACCATTCAAAATCTAGCAATATTCAAAACCCACCCGGGTGATTAAAAATACTAAAGACCTTATCCAATAAAGTAAAACCAGGTCGAGTAGTAATAGTAATAAGGTGACTGATACCACCTCCTCCGTATAGGCCCTTTTCCTTGGCAAACCTGCAGGTGGTTATATTTCGCAGGAGTAAATTTAGGAATGAAACCTGCCCGAAACTCCGACTTCCGCGCGTGCGGAGGAGGTGGTGACTAATAGGTCGCAAGCGGCCGTCCTGTACCTGTGATGTCTCTAAAGATTGCCACATGGATGCCGTAGTTTCAGGAGACTTTGCGAATGCAGAGAGTGTCTCAAGTATGCAACCCTTTAGTGACGTAGGAATCGAACAACCAAGCAAACCAAACAATGATGTCAGCGGTAACCATGCTGGGCTTTCACAAATGGCAATTCTTGCGACTTCATCCTAAATAATTAACCATACAGCAAAATAACTTTATAATAATTAAGGGTTCGTGTTGGAACATGGTACACCTAGATTCCTTCTACGTTTAGTACACGTTGTTCCAGTGAGTAAAGGTTCAGGAAAACGACCCCTATCTAAAGAGGACCTTCATTCGATCTTAGAAACGTTCAATTGTTTCATCTCAGAGCATTCATACCATTTGTGCCACAGTTGCTGTCAGTCGTAGCACAGCTTCGAGACCGACTTCTTCTTCAGCAGTGATATTCATTGGTGAAAACTGGGCTTGGTAATTTCCGGACTGCATTCCTACACATAAAACAAATCTACAATTTACACTATTCACTGCATGTAGGTAGATATATAATTAACAATTAGTCGCCGGAGGTGATTACAAGCCTATATTCACTGAGCCGAAGGGGTTTACAAATAATAATCAACGCAATTTCATAAAACTTTATAATTACTTCCAATTTTTTATTTGAAAAGCAACAACAAAAAGCTATCACCGACCAGTGACTATCACTTCCGAGACAGTGAATCTTGACCAATCAGAATGCAGGAAAATCAATAGTCACCTTGAGTATAGTAATCCAATAGTGATCAAAAGTAAATCATGGGGTAAATCACTTATTTGTTTTTTTGACAATGTAAGATAATGGAGTGAGAGATCTTGTATGTATATCTACTTTTGCAATAATTTTAAGACACCGCACCTAAAAACCCTTTTCTATGTCAATATTTATCCCGCTTGTAATGTATTTGAAATAGGCCCTGCATAAACGCTGGTCTATAAAGCGGTGCATCGTTTTGTACGATAATTTTAATGACAACACACCTGAAACCTTAGGGAGACCTTATCCCAATCTTAATGTTTACACATTTTACGAAGTAATTCATGATATCTGTCTTCATTATTTTTGCTTCCGCCTGAAGGTAATTCTGCAGTTTTGCATTCCGCACTTTATTGCGCATATCTCGAAACAAATCATTGCCTAATGTTGCAAACTTGTTATTTAAAATCATGGCAAAATAATATCCATTAATATGAATTATGCTATAATAATTATGTTCCCGTATGAACGATTTCCGGTATATAGAAATGTTGTTCTTCGCGCATTATAAGGGATGAAGACAACATAAGTTTACCTTCAAATAGTGAAGAAAAACCTTCAAATAGTGAAGAAAAAAGAGACTATTGCTCCCTTGGTAGTTCTACCAAACTTCATCTTGTTTGGACTTACCGACATTATCGTGTCTAAGATCAACGTAATACCGTCTCAGTGAGTCAAAGAAATGATCCCACGATACAGCATTGGCAGTCCCGGTTGCATTTTGACCATTTGTCTTGAGTAAGTTGAAACAATGGTGCGCCGAGTGCTTACTGCTCGCCAGGCCGTTCAGCATGTCAAGATATGGTACAAATAGAGAAGCTGGAAGAAGATCGCCAGCAACACGGATGAAATTACACAAGAGTATCTACAGAGATAAAAAACTAATCAAAAAAGCTGGGCGAGGTCACATGTATTGTAACTAAGTTTGTATAACTATAGTTTTTCTACGCTCTGCATGTGTCAAATTACGAAAAGTTTTACGCCGGTATACCGGGTGGCGCAAAAAAATGTTCCCCCTCTTAGACTTATCGTAATTGAAAAACTAATACAGATATCTTATTCAAATAAAGTTTGTTGAATGCAGTAATGTCTAACTTAAATTTGATACATGTCTTGAACATTTCTGTACAGTATTGGTCGAGATCGAGCCGTTTAAAATAAAGGTGCAGTTTTTGACGAAGCGAATAACATGACTAAATATCGCGACTCAACTTATTTTCAACTTCCACGATAGGCGTTTTTTAAAGCGTTTTTTTTCATGCATGTTGTCTTTGCATGTTTAAAGAAGGTATTCGAAGTATCTTTTAAGTGTATTAGATGTTAAAATAATACTGTTCATCGTTCGAACAAATTGGGTCCCTATAAGGAGTTGCAATGCACAAGGGAACGAAAGCAAAGAAGCTTGCCCGCTTTGTTATAAACATGCCTCGTTTAACGATACAGCAACGAGTTTGGATTTGTTTGGAATATGCGAGGACTAATAATGCAAGAGAAGATAAATTTACGTCGATGGCAATTTTTTTGCACCACCCGGTAGATTCTCTTTTATCGCGGTAGCCAACTTCAATTAAGAGCAGCATTTAATTTTACATCTTAACTCAGTTTGAACTACTCGAATGTACATTTTAGATTTGTAGTTTACTCTTTAGACTTTGCAGGTAGCGTAGCGGTAGCAAGCAAGCATGGCTCCCTACTTTCTACAGCCATGCATGGATCTCAAATATAAAGAGTTCATATGGAAAGCAGGCTATTTTTTCATCATGACATCAGAGCTCAGCTGACACGAGATTGTACGTTTCTGAGATAGATGTGTTGGTGGAAACTATACCATCGTACATTCGCGCGGACGCAATTTTGAACACCTTAAAATGGCAAGACGACTGTAAAATATAAAATGACTCAAAACGAAATTTCGTAGAGTGTATTATTCTTTCAAATGATCCACGACTGTTGCCTTTCGTATATTTGCTAAATTTGTTAACAGAATAAAAAAAACGGGGATGTCGATTTGTATAATTATATTAAAATGGATCCAGTAACCAACCTGCTTTGGAATAGCTTTTTGATTGTGTCCCGCAGCAAACGTTGAAGAATATCCCTCACTATCCAATGATATCCAATAATCCTCGGCAAGTTCTAAGCCAAGTGGGTCCTTTTTATACAAATCACCAATCTGAATAATATTCATAATATGAATAATATATTTTATACTGCACCTGATTGGTTCCTAACGGTGCAGTGGTAACACAACATATCAATATCAAATGTTTTCGAATTGGAGGAAATAGATTCACAACTGTAGCTGTGGTAGCTGATTATATTTTTCAAATTTGAGGAAATAGATTGATAACTGTAGCTGTGGGTAGCTGAATGTAGGCTTGTCGCCGAAAAAATTTCTTGCCCACAAACCATAACAATGTGGGTGCAGTTTTCGTAGTAATTTTTACTGAAGTGAGCGACAGTGCATGAGGATACTTTTTGACATCGAAAGCGGCAAGTTTCAAGCACTTACCATCTAATGAAGGTTCAAATCATGACGCTGATCGACTGGAGGTGCTAGACCCTCTTGGGCACACGCCTGTAAAATCCGAGCAGCCTCATCACCCAGTGTGCGCAATTCTTTCACCTGAAAATTACATTTTCCAAAAATATGACCATCTGGGCAAACAATGTTTAACGAGTGAATCTTGTTGCATGCTTAATCCACGGGGCTCAGTTTAAGTTCTTCATTCTCGTGGTCCCCATTTCCTTGGAGCGAGGATGCTACCTAAGTGGCTGTATGTAAGCTAAAGAATAAATGGTGTCAAGCAGGGCGCTTTATAATATATATAAAAACTTTCTGGTTTCAAGAATACTACTGCAAGCTGTCGCCTTTTTATATACGCACAGTAGCTCCTGTACATACAAGCACCCCGGGCAAACTATATCTTAAATACTGCATGGCGGCAACTAAGTTCAGGTTATGTAAAACTGTACGGTTTGAATAACGCACGTCTGACGTGGTGCAACACACGGAGACAAACTTACCTTCAACGGCATGTTGACAATAAAGTTTGTTATCAACAGATGAAGACGACGAACAAAGTACTCCTGGTAAATAATATAAAAATAATATAGGAATATATTATGATTACATCGTGATAAACAATTGCATTGATGTCATTCTCCCACGCTCAGATTATTCCAATTCCAGAAATTCTCCAATTTTATACCTTAGGGACTTTGTCAGGAGAGTTTGTATCATACCAACACACTAACTCTCTTGACGAAGGTCCATTGGTCGAAACGTCGAGAAGTATTTTTGTCTATTTTAGGCAGCTGTTATACCACACTTGATGCGAAGTTGTATGAATGTATAGTTATTAACAATTATACCATAATTTATAATATAGCCAGAATAATACAGTCTGAATAAAAATGTGTGAACTTTTACTAAATTCTCGTCTCATTGGCCGTTTTCACAACTCACCGTATACGAGCTGATATACTATACAGTGGGTAGCTCAGCGAATCAAATTCCGTAGTAAAATATATTCTAATTAGATTTATATATGCATTCCCAACAGAAAATAACTATAAAACGTCTGGTAAGCTTAACAATTGACAGTTGACTATGAGTATTGCGTGAGGTTGGCGAAAAATACGTTGATTTGCCATGCATGAAAGTGAATATATATTTTTACAGTATACGTTTGTAGACCTCCAAAACCTTGTTTCTTTGAATTATTTATACATGACATTCCACATTTGTGATCATTTTTATTCACACAATTTGAATTCTTAATTTAATTCTTTGATTTTAATTTAAAGGCACAGTAGTGAACACAGAGACAGAAAAATACACAAATAAAACAGCCAAACAAACCTCCTCATAAAAGTTGCGAGAACCGACCACTGTTTTCCTAAGAAATTCAAACACGTCATTCAATATTGCCATGGTAACAATAGCGTCGTCTTCTACAAGGAGTTCAACTTCAGCCACAAGATCAGCAGCATACTGACTGCACATTCGTAAAGTGAGGCCCCAAACAAACTGGACTGCGGCACCAAGCTGAGGCCACGCCCATCCTTCAGGTTGTGAGGCGTCTTGATGAAAATGTGGGATGAACTCTGGATCTTTCAAAATTGGAAGGGTATTTTCCACTAGGAAAATAAAATTATATATCAGTGTCCTCCATGAGCCTGGTTTACATTATCGATATTTTTCTAACCAAGATATTTGACACTATTGGAGATGTGGATGATTCGGTTTGAAGATGGCTTTATCTAGTTTCAACATGTGTCTTGTTTGATTCAAACATTGGCAGAATGATTCTGTCTGAAGAAGGCTTTGAAATAAAGTCGAAATTTACAGTTTCAACTTGTGTCTTGATTGATTGAAATATTGATTCTCAAGATGTCCTGTCTTTTCGGAATTTGCTTTTTACTTTACTTTTTGAAAACAATATTAATAGTTAAACGGATCAAAAGTAACAACGAGAACAAGGATTGCCTTATGTTAGAAGTGGACGAGTCAGCGTCAAGTGCCTTAACTTGACAATGTGAAATGTTGAGACGTATTGCCTTATTAATTTTTTACATGATAAATTCGACCAACGTTTTATTGTTGTTATTCAACAGACGTAGAATGAATAAATAGAAATAAACTATGGTTATTAATACCATAAATAGTAAGATAATACGACTTACCATTGTTGTTTGGTAATTCTGACTGTGTTTCCAGGCTATTGACATTCAGGGAATACAAGAGAGCAAAAAACACAAACAGATCAGCTTGATCAATATCTCCAGTCTCTTCATTCGGAGTAACTCCTTTCAAATAGGAAAAAACCTTCAACGTCTCAGCCTTCGAAAGTGGCGTTTGACAAGCAAGACAGAACAAAGATTCGGCCAGAGCAAGCGTTGTTCAGTTATAAGGTTAACTAGCTGTCTTTGGTGTTTTTCGTTCCCGATCGCCTGACCGTCTTGTAGTTTTTTCAACTCGTTTTGCAAAGTGAGTTCTTTGAGTAAGTTGAGCAGCTTTGTAACTAGTCCTACAAAAATATAGAAGAAATACAGGTATGCTACCGTAATTATCTAAAGTTCACAAGAAGATGAATCAACCTTAATTATTACAGTAATTCACATGATTACTATTAGAATTTTCGACTTCTTGTGAAATTACTACAAATATGGCGGATAGGTATCCGAGTTCACGAGTTATCATGCAAATTCCTTTTTTTCTGTCACATCAATTTAGTGTGCATTGAAATTTTGAGAAAATTTTGTCTACATGAGGTGAAGTTTTCTAGTACAAATACCTTTTAAAGGCGTAGCTATATAGTTAAAAACGTGACTCATCAAAAGGAGGTACGTCTTGGTTCCCCGTAGCTTAATAGTAAGGACGCAGTCCAAAGTCACATCAGTGAGTTGCATTTTGCGAATCATAATTAATAACGGTACCTTCTTCTATCATTTGTTTAGTGAATGGCATAACAAGCTCAGACATCTCTTCATCAAGTTCCAAGGTCCAGGTTAACCCATCACGAGATTGCAATAGGGTTCGTAGCGCGGATAACAAACATCGTCTACCGTCATGATATAAAATAACAGCAACTAGACCTAGCAAGAATAACCGAAATAAGGCCAACATAAATTTTTCGGATCATTTCCTAAGATTTTAAAAAAGTTAAAGACTATTATAATCCACCTACCTCTTGTATACCCTGGAAAGTTAGCTTTCTGTTGTTCACTGACCAACAACAGCTCAACAGCAGCCAATTCATTCATGTTCAAGATATCGCTGAGCAATAACGCCTCCTCAACAAACTGTGGAGGAAACTTCTGCTTCTGAGCATGTTCACTAACACTAATTCCTACTGTTGTTGACTGTTGAACCTGGCCTCGATGCGCAGCATTTTTTGCCTGAAATTGATAAACAGTCTTATCACTAATTGCTGTTAGACTTTAACCATAACCATAGAACTTTGCTACTATGTTTTTAATATGACCAATCATATGGTAACTTGTGAACTATAATCTTGTCATATCATACAGTAACTTATGAACTATAACTAATGATGTTAAAACATCACTTCCCGGAGTTTTGTGATGACTTAATAATAACATTACAATACAGAGTTTTCATGACAATTTATTAATTTGGTATTATTGCATTGATAATATTAGTGGTCTATACATTTTTTCACAAGATGTCAATGCTCTATGTTGTTGTAACCAGTTATTAAGTGTATTATTAGACTTGTTACTCAGGCTACCATAAGTAGAACAAGTTGAAACATAGGCTCGGTTTTTACTTTTGCATCACAAGTGTACGAAAATCACATGTGGGCAGCATGAAGTCTTCGAACAAATTGAAATTGTCCTAGGATTGTTTCTCAAAGGGGTGTCATGAACATGCGACTTTACCACAAGATAACTGTAGACCAAGAGAATGCCTAAGCAGGCGTCTTGTTACAAGATTGTTTTGACAAGTCTGATGCAGCTGTGTTATAACAAGGTTGCTACAAGTTGGCAACACAAGATTGTAGCAACAATGTTAGATGATGTTTGTACCAGTTGTTGAGACAACCCTGTAACAAGTCTGATGATTGAACAACTTGGTTAAAACTTTTTAACCAGTTGTCCCGAACCTTTCAACAACTTAGGACAAACAGTGCAAACAAATTTTGGTGAGAGCTTGTGTCAAAAAATAGTCAAAAGAACATTGATCACATATTTTGTAAACAGGCCCTTTCAACAAGTTACCTGAAGATTACAATATTAAAACTGACCAATACTTGCATGTGACAAAACAGCATTTAGAATTCATGGTGTTAAATAGGTTTATTGGATAAAATTATCATGGTCCCCTAAAGCTGTTGCTTTGTATGCAATGCATATTTTGGTCTAGTCACTCTAGTGTTCTGAACAGTGGCACTGAACCAGTATTTGGACGAACGTTTTCGTTGGCTCCATAGCATCAAACTTTATACTATATCCTTTAATTAAAACAACCTACCGGATTTCTTAGGGGTGATAGCAGCTCCGACTTAAATCTTTTCAATATGCTATCAAGATCATAATATGCTTCAGGTCTATTCTTCAAAATAGCAGATTCTACCACCGATAATAACAGCTTATACGACCGCCAAGACCCTAAATATACAACATGAAAGGTGTCAATCGTGATGAAAATAAATTCGGAGTAATAGAGACAAAAAATAAGAAAAAACAATCAATATATTATATACCTTCTTTCCCCGCCATGTGAAAGCAAAAATTATTTATAATTTCTCTGATTTTGTTTCCACTTTAGGAAAATTCGCCATTGAAATTTTTTCTGTCAGACGCTCAGTGCCACATTTCTTCAGTGATCCACTAATGATCAGTCTTCAGTTCAGGTTAAAAATTTAAAATGTTGGAAGCATTTAGTGGCATTTTTAGACGTTTTCTAAGCTATAAGTTTTGGTAACAGTATCACAGTATGCGGAGAAGGTTTATTTTTATGAAATCATTGAATTAGACAGATAGCTTGCTTATCTTGCTATCATAAGAATGCAGTTAATCAAACTAGTTTGAATAATAGTATGTAGAACTATTAACTTAGTCTGTAGAACTTAGTTTTATATGTAATGCATGAACGATTATTGTAAATTTCCCTAGTGCTAATAATAAATTATAAAACTACTTTTCATAGTTTACCGACCTAAACAATGTTCACTGTAGAAATAATAGTGCAGCGCGTAATGTTTTTACTTTTTAGGTAAAAATGGTAATATTCAACGGGAACACTGAACTCTTTTTTTCTATGGATCAGTGATCAGTGACAAAAAGTATCATCACCAGTTTTCGAGTGTGACGGCGACGTGCTTGGCTTACATTCCAACACGAGATTAGCAAGGTGCTCACGCAAGTACGCTAATCCGCACTGAGCTATATTATAGCTCAGTGGCTAATCCGGTTCGCTAATCCAAGTTTGTTGCTCGCAGGCTCAATTTGTGTTAGGCTGAATTTTTGAATTCCTGAGTCGCAAATTCCGGGTTTTAATTGGCTGGCTTTATGAAATCTTGGCATGTGATTGGTTAATTCCTTTTGTCTCATTCAATTGGACAATCTCACTGGGAAACCGCCAATGCCGCCAACCGAAAAATGCCGCGGAAATAGCGCGCCAAAATCAACTGTTGTAGGAATGAGACAATTATTAAAGCAATTTGTAGATTCAATATGCATTTTAAATTTGGATATTATATCATTTTTTCGCCCGTATAACCATACGGAATTTTACGTAAAATAAAGATAACATGAGTGAGTATTTATTTATAATTTTAAAGGTTTTTAAATGCATTATATTTGTTTTATTGTCCTTGCAAATTTTACCCTTGGGACGCCATCTTTCGAGATGTGTATTTTGTGTATTATTGAATGCCAGTCAGTTCTTAGGGGAAATTACAGTCCATGGGCGTTATTATGTTGTTGCTCTTTGAAAATATACATTTATGTATTATGAAGTCTACAAATACAATTGTTGTATTTATAGTTAACTAGGCGGTCTACATGAACACGGTGGTATTTACAGATGTATATTTGTGAAACAGTGAATGTAATGTTTCTATTGATATCATTTATAATATTTCTGGCCGCATGTGTGCTGCCTGCAACATGTATAATTATCAAATAAATAATATTGTTTAAAGAATTATCGTATTTTTTAATTTAAGGCATGTACGACGACGAGAATACAACAGCATCGACTAATTTCGTGCCAAGGCAAATAAACAGTGGAATATGGATTGAAGCAAACGAGAGTCCAACAGAAGAACAACCTCCCTGTTTGCCCAAAAGAATATTTCAAAAGCATTCATCACTAATTGAGCTTTCTGCCATTGCTGTAACAGAAAAAGAAACTTTAGACAAACAGGAAAGCTCCCAGTGTAGTGGTACCTCAGCATGTAGTTCAGCAATTGACATTGAAAACAAAATCCAAGGACAAGACTATGGTTGCTTGAATCAAAATGTGGGTGCAGAACTAGAAGTCCACTCTACCCCAAATAAAATTTCCTCAATTGAGTCAACACCATGTAACAACCCTTTGACTCCTACTGCAAATCTTAAGATGTTAATGAGTGTTGTTAGTCCAGCAATTCGTGACAGAGATGAGAAAAAGCGAGATTTGTTTGTTGGCAATGATGACAATGTGTCCAATGAGATTATCATAGAGAAACCAAATGCCTACAGTAGGAAGGATAAGTCACTTGGCCTTTTGTGTCAGAGGTATGTATGTGTGCATCAAACGTGCAGAGGCTGGTTATACAAAGACTGGATAATGCTGTCGACCAGGGTCAGGCTGTGCAAAGTCAACATAAAGCACCATCCACAGGACTGTGGGTTTGCAGCAATTTTATAAATCCAGGAAAAGCAATAAAATTACCGCTTAGGAGCTAACAATTGTTAAAAGATTGAATCCCCAATTTCAAAATTTCAAATGGTTAATCAGAGTTATGCCTATGTACAGAACAACAGGCAATTTTAGAGTGAAAACCAATGAATAGTGCTACCCATCTTTCATTCCACCACTCCCAAATAGTGATGCTTTCAAATTTTAATTATGCTTGAAAAGCAATAAAAATGTAAGAATGGAGCCAGCTGAGTACAATTAATAAAAAGAATCTTTACTGCGGCTCTCAATAGGCAATTATTTTGACTAACAGATGAGTATGTTTATATCCAGCTTTAAAAGGATAATATAATATGGATGGGGGGGGGGTTGCCAAAATTATTGAAATAGAAATTACGTTAAAGGGTTACATAAATATAGAAAATTAAAATGTCACTGTGGGGTTCTATTTAGAACTTAGCTCTCCCATTCTCTGATAATCTGTAGACCCTGCATAGACCACTCAAATTATGTCAGTTGACAATGTGTATATATATATATATATATATATATATATATATATATATATATATATATATATAATGAAAAGCACTACTAACAACATTGTGACTTGTATTATATTTGTGACTTGTATTATATTTGTGACTTGTATTATATTTGTGACTATATATATAAACCTTTATAGATTCTTAGCAATGTTTCCAGAAAATACCAATGGGAATGCAATTGAAATATCTTTGGATGAAGTCTCTAAAGATCTAAGTAAGTCATGTAGGCTTCATATATTTGTTAACATTTCTTCTACAAAACTCCCCTCAACTCTGTCTCACCTGATTTTGTGACAAATGCATTTTTTGTCTATTTGAATTGCATGGTATAGCCTATACAGGTACTTAGTTACATGTCTATGTCTCTGCATGATTATGTATTGTAAAGTATAATACTAGAAATTCTCTTGTGTGGGCCGGTGAAAGCAGTGTTCGATTTATTATATAATTTAGCGAACAGCATTTGTTTTAAAATTCTTACCAAAAGTTTCATTGTGTAACCGCAACAAAATAAGCCAGGAAAACATCCAGAGCTTAATTACAAGTTATGAGGTTTGCTGCATTCCAGAACCTCGTAAAATAATATTATTCAAAAATGTTTGTGATATACACCATGTAATTTATTTATTTATAAGCTTTTGAATAATATTTAACAACACCATGCAAAACTTCAAAGAACATGCTCGTAAAATAACACACTACATATGCTGCGCATTTGACTTAATTGGTCTTCGGAATGAATGCAAACTAAAAAAGAAATCAAAACTATAAAAGTTGAAATCAACTTGGGTTTTCCAGGTGTATGAAATGAAAATACATATTTTTTGAATGAAAATATACTAACATGTTTTTAATTTTGGTCATTGCTGCACTGTATTTTACTCTAAATTCTACTCTCTAAGATGACCACAAATTATTCATTACTCCCATTGCTGGCATTAGTGTTAAGTATGTTTTCGAGCATTCTTAAACTTATTTTTATTTTTTCTTGTGGTGGCTTGCTAGAAGTGGAAAGAAGAAGAGTTTATGACATAGTAAATGTTCTTGAGAGTGTGGAAGTTTTAAGTCGTTTGGCAAAGAATAGATATTTATGGCATGGCAAGTCTAAGATTATACAAACACTTGGAAAACTGAAGGTCAGTAAGTCACCATGCCTCTGGGTTTTACTAATAAGTGATTTAATTGACCGTTATTAATTTTGGCCTGAATGTTGGGCACAGAATGCAGATACTAATTATCCTCCACAGCCACCACCAAATGAGCAAATGATAAGAAATGTTTCCAATGTGCCACAAATTAAGACACAACTATTTTCAGGCCAACAGACTGAAAAGCTGAATAAATTTGGATAATAATTTTTACCTTTCATGTATTCTCATCTAATTGCAGTTTTTACACTTACAGTTTCTAAATCGTTTCATATGGCTTTCGTGCTAAGCCTGAAGCTAAGCTTGTGGAACGCAAGTTGCCCCATGTTTAATATTACAATTTTTTCAGGCTCTTTCAAGAAACAGTATAATTAAAACAAATGAAACACTGGAAAAGGAAAATTTACCAAAAACCCCAAGTTCTGGTAAACAAAAGGTGGGTGCCTAACTTGTGACCAGTCATCCAGACCAGTAGCAGAGATGATACCTCATATTTCCAGCTGATCCAAACGGAAATAAATCATTTTTATGATAACATTCAGTGACAACATGCTAACGTTTACATTTTTGTCTAAATACACTCATTCGATAATTACGTCACAACATTATCGTTTTAAATCTAGAAACATGCACCTTAAATGAGATTAATTTCCGGCAAGTTTTACTCAAAAATGCAAAACATCCTTCTTTCTTCAACACATGCATGAAAAAGAATTTTTCATTTTGACAAATATATGTGGAAATAGGCCATTACTCGAGAGCGAGGCTCCCGGGTTTGGCCTAGTAGCCTCGTTTTAGTGTTACGGCTTATTTCCACATTTATTGGTCAAAGTTGAATATTCTTTTTCATGCATGAGTTGAAGAAGAGTGTTTTGCATCTTTGCACGTGGCTTGTGAGAGTAAACTTGCCGGAAATGAATCTCATTTAAGGTGTTTCTAATTTTAAAACGATAATGTCGTGACGTAGCTATTATCGAAAGGGTCTATTTTATGAGCCAGGAATTCATTTGCTGACATTTTCTGTTGATTTGCGGAACATCCAGTGGTTTTATTATGCTAATAATAAGGGGGCGATTGTTCAAAGCTTAAGGTTATAGCGCTGACCTTGAGTTAACCGGTTGTTAAACAACCGGCCCAAGGGCAAGGAGTCTTATACATGCATGCGTTCCCAGGAGTCAACTCAAACATTAACATATAGGCTTATATACAATGAAGTGCGATGCGATATATCCACGGCGCAAAAAAAAATAGGCCCCCACATGCATTGGTCTATACTTATGGTATTTATACCATCATGTAGCTATACTTCGTCAGTTTCGTGCGCTGAGCACCTATCATTGAAATTTGTTCCATAATTTCATTATTCCAATATAGATGAAGAGACATTTCAGTTGCGGTGATCTACCTAAACCCAACAAACAGTCGAAAGAAAGAATTTTGACAAAAGATGAAGAACGATTTATGATAAAAGGTGTAGTTTTGCTCAGGCCAATTTTTTAGTAAGCTTATACGATAGTGTTGCGTTGAGAATTGCATAGTTGGTTTCGCATTCACCAAAATAATACCGCCTGCTTAAGTTGCCTCGAACTGCGTGTCTGGCAACAGGCTTTTTAGCCTCCTATACCAGATTTGCCAACTCGTTTTCAAAAGCATCTTTCTCTTTTCAGCTGCGATTGATTCAACGGACAGTTGTCGAAAGGACAAATCATTGGGCGTTTTAAGCCAGAAATTTCTTTTAATGTTTTTACTTTCTAAGGTAAGATGCCAGTTTTTTCCCATTCTAGTAATATATCTCTCTCGGTATATATATATATATATATATATATATATATATATATATATATATATATATATATATATATATATATATATATATATATATAGAACAGGGTGAGCATGTAAGACTTTTGTTTTGTTACAGGGCGGCGTTGTCACACTTGAAGATGCTGCTACTGTTTTGTTAGAAGAACATGACGAACGAAATGTTAAATACAAAAGTAGGTACAATTTTTTTGCGGGGGATCTTTTTTCAGATTGATAGGGGAGGGAATTAACTGCGCGTGTATGTCATAAACTATACATAAAGCAAGATGAATGGTTATTTGCATGGTTAATTCTTTCTTAATTGCTCGTTCACTTCAAAGCGATACTGCAGAAGTTGAAAAAGACCATAGCCGAAATTCTCAATAAGCTTCAAACATGGCAAGAGAAAAGAATTATGTCTGGCGCAAAAGATTTGAAGCTTGCAGACGGCAAACGATTGCAGAATGCGTATTAATTTCAGAACTTGAAATTTTACCTTTTTAAAGTTAGTCAATAGGTTTCTCTTTGATAGCGATAGCGATAACGAATTGCACAATTGTGAACCAGTGAAACTTAGGTGTTCTCCAAAGCTATATGAGAGTTGTGCCCGCTGCAACCTCTGTATATATTCTGATTTCAATAATTTCTTCAGTATGATTATAGTATTCAAGTCTAATGTTTTGGTTTTCTTAACATGCCAGTGGATTTCAACATATTTTTCCAAACTAAAATTGGCCTTACGAGTGTACGCAACAGCCAAAACAAAATGTCGTCTACCCCATCTCTCCCAACGTTTCCTATAAACGGCCGTACACATGCGAACAAATTTCTTTTTCGAAAACTTTTCGTTTTCGAAAGAGTTTTGCGACCTGTTTTTGCTCAAAGCATCATTGCAAGAAAAGCTTGTCCAAACTTTCTCATGCGAACATCACAAGAAAAACGGGGCAAAGCTATTAGCTCATCTATACTAATGAGGCCTTATTTGGAGCCATACGCCATTGCGATTGCCGCGGATATTGGTATAGACTTAGCCGCAATTCTTAATACTTAGACTTCAAACTTGGTGAGAAAAAACATTTATAAATATATTCAAGAAAATATGTCTTGCACAAAAGATTTGAAGCTTGTACACGGTAAAAACGAATCGTCTGAATTAATATAACCTTGTGTATATTTTAAGGCTCTAAATAGCCATTTCACATGCAGCGATCAGATGTGTATCATGACCTGTCAAAGTTAAGATTGCAGAATGCGTATTCAGAAGAAAAATTGAACTTTTTAAGATATTCAAAAGGTTTCTCTTTGATAGCGATACAGCGATTAGATTTTCGGGTTGAAAGGTCTTAAAACAGTCAAATTTCTGCGGTGTCATTGCGATGTGTAGTGAGATACAGAAATTGGTATATATACCACCATGTTCTACCATGTTGTAATTTGTACTTCCATATCAATCAGCCAAAGTTCGCCGCTTGTATGATATCGCCAACATATTATCAAGTCTGGAGCTTATTGAGAAGGTGCATATACGAGGAGCAGTTGGGAAAAAACCTGGATTCAAATGGATTGGCGTTGATATAGAAAGTCTGCCTAATAATGCAAGTATGTAAAATATAAGAATTTCTCGGTCAATTTGGTCATATAAAAGCATGCACTATATTCCATATAATTATTATAATACTTTTCGGGATTAACATATGACGGGAATAGAACTCGAAATTAATATCTAGGCTGAGAATTCATGTCATTTTTACATGAGCCTGCGATTCCACATAGAAAAGGGGTAAATTCCATGGACACATATAGATCGTAATAGATCGTTTTTGTGACATCGCTGGGTATTTTAAGACACAAAATCAGCTTACAGGTGAATAAGAATACATGTGTTTTAATTATAATATATATATTATAATACTGTTATTCAGTTTGGCAAAATCGTTAACTAACCAAAAAAGTTAAAATATTACATGATTGCCTGGAAATGTGAAATGAATTTCAAGCATATTTCTGACGGATAAGAATTATATCTTCGACGTAAGAAATAAATTGCGTTTTTCCAAGCAACCATGTACACTTTTGTTTATTATTTTTACTAGTGCCCGATGGTAATGTTGTAACCTTTAAGACCAAGCACTCGCTGCTACCAGATCCAACCAGTAACCCCACAAACAAAATACAACCGCACATCCTACCAGCACCTAGTTCGTCCCACAGCGCAACCGCCAACCCGAATAAAAGTTGGACAAAGTCTGCCTCCTGTAGCGCATCGTTTGTCAGAAGGTCCAGTTCAAATGGTGGAGGAATTAAGAGAGAGAGGTCAAATAGCAGTACCGCTGAAAACAAGATGGCTTTCACGTTCATGAGTTTGCATCCTCCCCTGTGAATCTATTTGGTATCGTGAAATTTTCTTACTATATATGGAATAACTTTATCATGAAGTCCTATATATAACATACGTCCTAGAGTCAAAAGACGGTTAATCCATAGTTAATGGTTAATCCTTATCAATGCCGTGTTTGCGTATATGCAAATTTTAAATAACTCGTAGCTGGATAGTTTTATAGCTTTGTTTTGATTAAGTACAATAATGTACCTGTTGTGTTATGTGGTTAAATTTTTTCATAGGTCGGGATATGAGTCTGTACAGTCCAACTGAAGTTACATTTCGTGAAGAAATACAAAAACTACGAGAGAAATTCCCAGATCATATCCTTTAAAACTGTATGCCAGTATATTACAGATTGCTTTCTCAAACAGCATGCAGTAACAGAAAATAAAATCTTCTTGTTAAATTTTGATGGACTACCAAGGTGCCTTAATATCAGTATAAGAAACAAGACGTGGTCAATTGTCTCTGCAAAATAAGCGTATTATCATATTGAGTAAGGATAGATAATTCATTAATTAGGGTACATTGCATTTTCAACAGCCCCCCATAATTATATAGATACCTGAGGTAACACTTCTGTCAGATTTTTGCATTATACTAAATAGTGCAGTACTTACCTCCGCGCTTTACATATATATATATATATATATATATATATATATATATATATATATATATATATATATATATATACATACATGTTGTTGAAAATTTCTTAACTCTTTCCACGTATGTCTCAACTGTTGGCAATATTGCCGCCATACCTGCCCTCGTCTTTTCCAGGCAATGGGAACAAGACAAGCAGAAGAAATTTGTTCACTAAGAATAAACTAAACTCAAGCAGCTCTGAAACAAACGCAAAACGAGTGCGTACAAATTCTGAGGGAGATTGCCATACAGTGGATGTGGATAGTGCGAGTTGTTCGGAAGCCAATACGGAAAAAGGTAAAACACTTTATAATGCAATTATTTATGCCTTGGTACTGCTGGAAAATGTGTGTTTGTAAAGTGTATTTGTAAATTTTCTCCGCAATTTGAATAGGTAGTTAGTTTTGACGCATCATCCGTCTGTAAATATAAATACGGGGTGGGGACATAAAAGTCATCAAAAAGGACTCTTTCTAACTTACTCTCTAAAACTGTGCAGTTTCTAACTCGCGATTGTGTTTCGTCTGACCATAGTCTGACATATTCGTCTACATAGTTTATCTAGATAGTTGTCGTGTCTTTATAATCAGACAAATGATCTGTAAAGGCTAGCTTCCTCTCAGGAAAAATCTCCTTTGGATCGGAACGGACAGGAAAATTTCCTTTGCCGGTGAGTTCTCATGCAGGCGGCGTTTATACAAAGGAAACTTTTCTGTCCTGTGCGATCCAAAGGGGAATTTTCCTGAGGGGAAACTAGCCTTAAGACGGATCATTCGTCCTTTATAGTACATATAAATCGGGCCACTGATTTAAAAGGCCTAGTAAAACCGACTAATTACTTCTCGAGGCAGTTAAGTTACAATCACTTTTAGTGATTTTAACCAAATATTATTACTCACATCTTGCGAATCGGTGATTGTAAATATCGTTGATTTTTCAGATGAAGTAAACGAAGAAAATAAAAATCAGGCTGGAAACGAAAGCAAATTCATGCATTCTACTGACTCTCCATTCAAAGTGATGTCCTCGTGTGCCTACAACCAGTCCGAAACTCAAACCTCAAATGCTCTACCTGCGAATACTAATGCTATAGTGACCGGTAATGCGGGTTCAATAATTGATGAAAAATTGCAGCAAGGGATACAAATGAAAGAACCACATAGGAGCAGCTGCAAGTGGCAACAAATGGCGAGACGCTTCACAACTGGCAATGGACGTACTAGCCCAATGGTGCAGTTGGTCGACCAAGCTGTATCTCCTATTCCTCCCAGCAAACTAAATCCACGGTCCTCAATTGCTATTCAGGCCAGCCTTATAAAAGATATCAGCCCACTTAAACCTCTTGTTTTTTTACACCATCGTATTCCATCTCCATGGAAGCCACCTGCACTATCACCAAGCAACACTCCTCCTGCTCCTCCTTCCACTCCAGAGCTACCAAACAAAGCAGGCATGGGTCCATTTCAAAGCCAAGGTAATCAAATATTCATGAGAAGTATCTCACCTTATCCCGTTTCCCAGAGCTGTGGGCCATCACCAGTTGCACCTTTCACAGGCGCAAAGCTTTTTTTCCCAATGTCCCCTAATGGTATGGCATTTCCCAAAGGAAACCTACTGTATGGCATAACCCAGGTAGCTCCGCCCAACATGACACAACCTCTTTCAAGTCACCAAAGCAATTCATGCCCACCCTCCATCAATCCCTCCCCCACCCCCGTCGACTCAAGTCTAACCTATACCCCTGAACTTGTTGTGCCACACTCACAAGTAGCTAGCTCCTCTACAAGTGTCACAACAGGCGTATTACCAATGGTTACTCCAAAATCCTCTACCCAGTCAGCAAGCGCACCCACGGTTACCGAATCCTTCACCCCATGCCAATTACAGAAACCTAGAAAGCAACCATGTATGTTATTTGGGGCAGGACGATCCGGAGAGACACCCTTAAGTTCTATCAACATGGAAACTGCAGAAAATGTGTCAAGGCAACTCTGTTTAAGCAATGGCGACGTTTGAACTATGAAGATCTTGCGAAAATTTTTGACTTTGGTCTTTGGCTTTTGGCCAATGGTTGTGTTTCAAAGTGTTTTTCTCGCAAGGTGGTATATATTGCCTTTTGCGACAATAGTTCTACCTGCAGATCGGAATATTTCATTGCATTATTGTTTAACAGTATGTAGAATTATTCTGCAACAATTTTTTAAAATAGCCAATTAAGGAATTCTGATAATTTTTTTAATCAAATGTGACGTCTATTGTTTGAAGCCTTCCCACATACGAAGCCTAAACTTTTAAAAATTATTCAATTTTTTCCATAAATAACTGCATTGTATTATCCATGAATTAGAAATTGAACAACAAGAAAATTATAAGAAAATATTTGCCAATTTTGTTCGAGCAGGCAACTTTTCTGCCTAACCATAGGTTTATGAATGAGAACGATTTTCCCTTGACAAATTTTTTTTTGGGAAGCTCATTGAAGGTATCAAAACCATAAAAGGTAGTATTATAGGGTAGTATGCGGTACCCGGCTACCCGCATTGACCTGAGAGAGAAAGCTCTTGGAGCATTTGACTTTGACTTACACAAAGTACTGGTGATTGACTTTAATATTTTTCAATATGGCGATGTGCAGGGAAGAAGAAGAGATTGATTTCCGAGAAGAAGCAAAATCTATAATATCGGATGTTAGTTTTGCTGTTCAACGTATCGACGTATCAACGAAGTTTAGCAACTCGAAAGAATGTGTTTATATCAATCTAGTTACTTTGGAGGGCTCAAAAATGTGCTTACAATTGGATACATGCGGTTTAAAGGTAAAATTTATGATTTTAATATAATATCTAAATACTGCGACTTGTTTACGCGGTTTAATTTTCCACGGGCGGGGAGAGAGGATCGGCTGAAGTACACCTATTTTCCATCGACCAAAAGCTCACACTCTTATAAAGAACAAGTAAACTGCAAAAATAACCAGACCAAAAACTACCCAAAAGGTATTGTCAGTGGTTCAATTTCTGAGTTTGCAAATATTCGAAAGATGGATAAAAAATTTTAGAAAATTGGAAACTGAAAAATAGTATCGACCCATTTTCAAACCTAGGCATCGCACACAGGAGATAAACCACCTGGCTGGATGTGAAACATTAAAAAATTGAGCTAGTTTAATGTAATTTATAGTGGTCATTTAGAAAAAGTATTACAATTTGCAAAAATATAGGATACTGTGGGCACACCCTCCCTCTCCACCTATGGAAAATTAAATTTCCTTTTTGCAATTTTAGAAGTAACATAAAATCAAATTAAAGTGGGGGGTGGTATTAAATCAATTTAAATGACCCGAAGAAAGAAAGTAGCATGGGGGGGGGGTATTTGTCAACTTGAACTTTGAAAAGGAGCATAATTCTTAATATAGATGCTCTAATCACTCCAGAAAGAGACATTGCTTATTGCCTTCATTATATAACTTTGACAAGAAAAGGCTCTTTGTCTAGAAGTTATTTAATACATTGAGGGCCTTCTTAGCTACTAGATTTTTCATGTCCAATTATCTAATAAATGATATCAGCCCATCTTTTATTAGCTCTTAAGCAGACTTCCTTGCACTGCCTGAACTTTTAAACTACTTCAAAGCAATAATGGCAGCATTTCGTTCAAACTAGTACAGACAGTATATTCTTTATAGAGTGGCTATATCTTAGTCTATTAGATGCCAAACAATATTCATAAAGATATACTACATATATGCATCGATATTTAGACAAGTTGTGGCTTTGTATTTTATACAGGGTGTATCAGAAAAAACTAGAAGATTTTAAAATGTTCAGAAAAGTATCATTTTATCAAGATATCTCAAAAATATATTTACGTCTAAGTATTTTAGCATCTTCTGGCTTTTCTAAGAGTAAAAACTAGCAGAAAAATTAACCTCGAAAAGCGAGAGAACGGTTTGTAAAAGCCTCATTTTTAACCGCGTGTGCAAAGAAAATGAGACGTTTAAAATCCAAGTTCAGTTAAACAGGTGAAAGTTTGGAATATTTTGTGCAATTTATCGCAATTTCAAAAAATTTGATAAACATTAGGTCCACCGCGAAACGTTTCAAAATTGGATTTTTTCCCCGTTTACTCCGCTCTCTCGCGTAACTTTTTACACGCAAGAATGATTACATGCATGAGTGATAGTTGGAATGAACGTAATTACGAGCACTCTTTGTTAAATGAAAACAATAAAACAAGAGTAATCATTGTTAGTTATGTTTAAGTACGTCATTCCAACTATCACTCATGCATGTAATCATTCTTGCGTGTAAAAAGTTACGAGAGAGCGGAGTAAACGGGTAAAAAATCCAATTTTGAAACGTTTCGCAGCGGACCTAATGTTTATCAATTTTTTTGAAATTGCGATACCTTGCACAAAAGATTCCAAACTTTCACCTGTTTAACTGAACTTGGATTTTAAACGTCTCATTTTCTTTGCACAAGCGGTTAAAAATGAGGCTTTTACAAACCGTTCTCCCGCTTTTCGAGGTTAATTTTTCTGCTAGTTTTTACTCTTAGATAAGCCAGAAGATGCTAAAATACTTAGACGTAAATATATTTTTGAGATATCTTGATAAAATGATAGTTTTCTGAACATTTTAAAATCTTCTAGTTTTTTCTGATACACCCTGTATATTAGTTCAATCAAGCGTAGATTACACCTACTAGCATGGCTAAAAGATAGCCATGGCCAACCGTGAGCCGGTTCGAACTATATAACAAAGCTGTTCGCGTGACAATGTCATGCAACACGCGATCATTTGAAAATGCAATAAATCAATAATCATAAAAAACTAAGAAATTAATATTATAAACCATGCTCTATCACATAGTGCGCATCGTCTAGTTATACATATCAATAGATGAAGTAACTAGCTAAAATAATTATAGAAGCACTGTTGTTCGTGTACAAAAAGAAAGGTCAATGTGTACTCACTTTGGTTTACACGCGCACCGTAATGTTGATAACGTTCAAAACACCGCGAGTACGTAGATTCGTTAAACACGACTTTGATCGATGTAACGAACGTTCACAATTGAAGAACTTACAACTTTCGATTAGTGGACTGACTAATTAATTGACCTTCTTCGGTCACGCGACTTAACGACACTGCCACAAAGCATGCACCCTTAACGTAGGCGCAACTAGATTGACATGTCCTGATTGACAGTTACAGTAAAGGTAATTTCTAGCTACGTTGATTGATGGTGCAATCACCATCTTTACGTTTTAAAACTAACAGACAGCAAGGGCACTGAGTACAAAACCGGTTGTACACTGGTTGGTGTTAACATGGTATCACCACTTAAAGATTTATTCTTTCTACAGCATCTCAACCTTCCATATAGGCAACTTCGCCATTTGTACAATAGGAATCTTGAAAATCTTCCTCGACAAATTAAGTAATTTGCAGGTGCATAGACACTCCTACATGATTTCTGGTCTCAACCGGAAGAAATTTGCACCTACTTCATCCAACAAGGCCACAAATCATGGTTTGTTTAAACAATGTTTTGTTAAAACAGTATTGTTAACAATGTTGTTAAACCTTGTTGAAGCATTAATGCATGTTAATGCAATCACGATGCAATGTTGTTGTAACACAAGTTGCAACAACATTGATGATTCAACAAGCTTCAACAACATTGTTAACAATACTGTTCACAGGGTGCAGCACAACATTGTTCACTCCTGTTTTTAACAACGTGCATCAACATACTTTTAATACATATTTTTACGCGTGTAGTAAATACTCTTCAACCGCATGTCAACATGGTGGCTAAATCAACCATGCCTATTATAAGTCTACGATTAACCAAATTTCTGTTCGATCGGTATTTGTCATGTGTGGCGATCATAGTTGCCAGCAACAGCAGCAGCCTATATCAACAATAAACCAACAGGTCATGCCAATACCATCGATTTTAAAAGAAAGAAAATTATATGCCATAACCAACAATTTTAATTTGACCAAGCTGCACAGATGTTAAGACCAGTATCTGATGTATATTCTAAACCGTCTCGGCTATTTTAGACCATCACTAGAGTTACTCAACATGCACGAGGGACACATTTAAGTACATCAGACCTGCCTCTGGATGCAGAGATTGTACGAGCGCTGAAAAACATTCACAATGCCACTGTCATTAGAGTTATTCGCCAAGCAGCAAGCAAAGTAAATGACATGACAATCAGCTATCTCTTTAAACATCAAACACCATTATAAATAGCATGTATATAACGCGTGTTCTGATTGGTTGAAGCCTATTATGGTTTGTTATTTTATAAAACAATTACTTAATGGTTTCCGTGTTTGGATGATCTGATCCAAACACTTTGGAATGTTGCTCGAGTTATCTTAACTCTCGCAACATTCCCGCGTGTTTGGATCAGGCCATCCAAACACGGAAACCATTATTAAGTAATTGTATAATAATGCACGATGTATACAATGTGTCTGTGACTTACCCGCCATTTCATTGTGTTCCGGTCTATCTTGTAATAACTCAAAAATGCGACAAGCAAAATGGTGTAGTTGTCAATGTATAGCGTGCAAATGTAAAGGTGGGTCAGAAAAAAACTATTTTCGTAACCCTATAAGCAATGCTTGGCACAAACCTAAGCAATGGTTGGCCTTCACACAAACATCTTGTGACATCGGTTAAGCCAGGTGGTTATCCATTTGTTCGGTTGTTCCTATCATCCCCACGGCCTCCGCAGGAGGACGTTGGTGTAAAGAATGGAACAGTTTCACAGCTCTAGAGCTGTATAGCTATAGCTACCATATTTATATAGTTAGAGCACTTTGGTTCATATCTATTTAGAAACAAAAAATTCTGTTAGAGATCATAGCCATGAATCATCGCTTAGTTGTAGTTAAACAAGAGCTACTGTATGTTTCGTCAACTTCGTCATTCCGAGTTGTACTTGACCTTGTAGCTACTCTATTTTTTTACTAGCACTGCATGAAGTATTTCGATAAAAATAAAGCGGTTAAACTGCTTTTCTCGTGCTACAGAGCTCTTGAAAATACTCTATAATACCAGTAATTTCTCTGTATGTACTGAAATTCAGCAGGACCGGCCGGTCTGGCTGTTTTTACCGTATAAAGGAAATGTTGCACCCTGTATACTTACTTATTAGAGTATTTTCCTTGAAATATCTTCATATTTGACAATTTGCACTTGTAGGTCATAGGCAATGAGCTTGATGTCAACATGGAAAACTTAGATGGAAAATGCTATGAATCAATTTACTCGCTCTTGGATTCCACAAGTCCTGGCTACGTTCAGAAATTCGGAGAAAAACTTGCAGGAAAACTCGCTGACCTACAACAGTAAATATAAGCTAGAATATTTAAGACTACTTACGTATTGATACAATATTAGATTACGTCATGCATCAACGGTTACTCGTCTGTCACGCGCTTATGCTCGTGCGCGCTCCTAAAATTTCCGGCATTAAACTTGTTCCTATAATATCAGCATTTTGAAAACAGTTCAGAGAGCTAGTTGAAACATTTGCTTTCTTCTGCACGTGTAATGCACAGTTTTTCCGGAAATAATATAAGTAATATATATATATATATATATTACTATTTATTCACGATGCAAAATATTTAATATTCAGTCCGTAGCATGCAGACAAAATATATTCGTCCGTTCAGGATTATAAAAATGCACCTAGCCTATTTTAAAATAAACATATTTTGTGAAATCTATCGATTAGCTTATATGAAAACATAATGCACGTATTCAAAAGATAACTCCGAGCGAGTTTCGAATATAGCTAATATAAAATCTTCTAATGTACGGCTTCTTTATGACAATTTTTATTTACACCTATACAAATAATTAATATTTAATAAAAAACACGATTATTATTATGATTGTAGTGATTCTAAGAGCCTGTTTACATGCGAGTTATCCCGACTAGACGAGGTGGAAACTGCATATAATGAAAGACTAATCAGGTTAAGCCGTTGATGTGATGCGCTTTTTGCCTCGCCTAGCCGGGATATGATTACGTTCTGCAGTATCAGACGAACCGGTTAACTAAATCATCTCATTTTTGCATCGACGCGACCAAAACGCGACCTATGGTCTACTAATCGGGTACGCATTTCAGCATTTGAGTGGTGCAAATTTTATGTCAAGGATTTATAAACACAAACAAAACTTATTTCGTGCTGCTGTTAACGAACAGTACAAAAAGTCATGTTGTATAAATATAGTTGCTGTGCATGGATGAGATGTGTAATCCTGTGAATTGTGTTTTGAGGCGCGAAGAGTAAGAATCGACTGTTATTTTTATGCAGGGTGTATAAAAAAACAATATTAAATACTCATAATATTTATATGGCTTTTCAATATCCTCTATTCTGATTGATTGACGAGCGGCCGTTAAAACCCATATCCGGACCGTTGTCCGTCGTATCTGGACCAGTATCCCGGGTGTCATGCAGTATTGCAGTTCAGCCATATAATAAACAGATTATTTATTGACCTTGCTTGTTCGATCTGTACTGTGAAATATCAGACCGAGGTTTTTTGCATGAACCTCGCTCTTCGTCGCTCGGTCTATATTTCACAGTACAGACTTCATGCATGCTCGGTTAATAATCAGTTAATATTCGCCTCTTTCAATAACAAAAGATCCTAGCCCAATAGACTTTTAAGGTTGCGTTTTTACTGATACACCCTGTAGTACGAAACAGGCAACCGGTAGTTTCCTCCAGTTCCGGTAGAATAGAACCATTCAGGAGCAAAATGATAAAACAAGCAGCACAGCGACAAAGGTAATTTACCGAAAATTGGAAATACGAGTATAAACATTTCCGTTAAGTTTTCCACTAGGCGAATTTATTCGCGCGAACAGATAAGCGATTCTTCTTTTTCGGGGTGAATTTTTTCACAAACCAATCACATAACCGGATTTCACATACGCGTCACGCGAATATATTGGCCAAGTGGTAAACGGGCTTTAAAGGGGACGTTTGCGGTTATTCCCTGAGAAAAAAAAATATCCACCCGTTGCAGTTTAATACACGGCCATATGAAAGATTGACGCGATGATGGTTAAGACTTGACCATTAATTAAGGCTGGTTAATATGTATATTAATAGTCTTTCAGCCCGTGAAATTAGACGTAGTGTTAAGGTGGGTAATCTTGACCACCGGAAACCAGAATATCGTCAGGAAAAGCGTTGGTGCTTCACAGGTGCCGCTCCGGTGCACATCGAAAAATAACTATGGGGTGTCCTACTACGTTCTGGCACCGACTTTTACAGTGTTTGTATTCGATAGTAAAAGCCTAGTAATATACGGCGTATTTTTAGTGGAGAAACGATACGAATGTCTCCGGGCGTCGAGTGATGAAAGCTGCAAGAATTTTGAAATTTAATTCTTCAGAAAGTTATGTAATTTGGTGCTACAGTTAGGGCAAAAATTCGGAAAACGACGAAAGCACAGAGTTTAATTCCGTTGTTACAAATTCAATTTCAGAGACATAAAATATTATCAGGATTCAATGTGTAAGCTCACAAGGCTCCTCCTTGCTTGGCGAAACAAGAAAATTTTTAAAATTTGATTGGTCTAGGGGCTAGATTCTCGGAAATGAGCATTTCAGAGCCTTGTTAGAGCCATCCATTTCATGAAAATTTTGATCACATTCACAGATACATGTGTTACTACGAACTTTCTACAATTTAACTGACTTAACTTAAAAGACCGTTCAATTAATTTATCTAATGAATATTTTCTGATATTTTTAAAGTTATGTATGTTAAGCTGTTGGCCACAGATTTGCTTCCGTGCAGGCGCAGAGCTGTGAAGCGTTACACGCCCTACACCCTTCTAATGCACGCCTCTGATTATTTTTTAAACGTTTCAATTTCTTAAAAATGATCAAGATATTTGGAATGCAAAACAAGAGGGCAGTAGAAAGTTGAATACCCCTAAAACGAACCAAGGCTACCAAGCTATCAAGAAAACAGCATTGAATGTATCATGCATGACATGAATGGAAGATATTTTTGCAAACTCAGTCCAATACCCTTAAACGAAACACATGTTAATTACAAATGAAAATTTGAAATTTACTGATGACATACAGGAGCAATTAGGGAGTGGTCATAAATATATGCTACTTAGGGACAATGGATATTATGGATAGCCCCCTAAAATATTATGAGAACATTTGCTACCCTATCCAAAAATCATCTTAAATTTTAGTATGGCAATACCACAAATAGTTTTAAAGCTTGCACCAAATAGCTGGCAAACAATATTGGATGTTCAGAGTTCAGACTAAATTTAATTTATAACATGCATAAAAAAGCTTTTTCTAAACCTGTGATGATATATATTTATATCAGCCCCAAATATATACCAGGTCATGTTGAAAAAAAGTAACAAATGTATTATTTAAAATAATCAAATGATTATCTGGCTATACTTACTTTTAAATTGTTTCTTTTTTGCTATGAAAATCATTTGTTGTTTCCAATAAAATCTTTTTTAGACATGAAAGACATTATCCCTTACCAGAAGAATATAATTTATTTTATACCCAATCCTGATCAGCATCAGAATGAATTTTCATACCCCATTAGTAAATTCTACAACCCCAGAGAGCACATTTGACCACTCTCTTACCACATCACTATATATAATGACAAAATACAGGTTGACATACAAACTGAAAGTTAATAAATGGCAATTATAAATAAGCCTATTATAAATAGATCACAACATCCTGCAAATTTTCTGAAGAGTTGCTTAAGTTGTGTGTAAAGCAAACAAATAGCAGCATTTACATCATTAATCTCATCATTAATCCTATTACTTAATGCCTGATTTGAACTTCTTCTAAGAATCAACATCCTTTGACTTTGTCTTCAACCAAACTTAACCATCTTAAATATCAATGATAAATAAAAGTGGAACCAGGACACATATGAGGTCAGGCTTTGTGAAAAAGAGAAAATACAAAAGCAAAACATATGCAAGGAACTAGAACTAGAAACAATGTTTTCATTAAGGTGAAATTAAACACTCTTTGTTCAAAACTGTCCAAAGTTTGCAGCACAACATTGTTAATTCGCAAATCACATGTATTACTTCACGAAATCGCAACTAGTACTTCACGGAATTGGCCATAACTGATGCTCGTTTTATTGTTAGGCATGGGTGCGTCACTAAATGTCACTGAGACGCCATTATAAGTTACTATACGCAAAGCTTCTGTCCGGTCACCACAATATGAATCAGGCCCGGTTATTGTTGCAGATAGCGTCACAATTTCATTTTGATTCAGCATCACCGGGTTTGGTAGCATTACAGCAAAACAAGGCATCCCGTCTTCGTCGACTTCAGAAGTGTAAGTTCCAGTTACACTGGCGTCCTTAACTCTAAAATTCACCGCGTAATCGCTATCATTTTCGTCTCCATATAATACCACGCCAAGTAGCATAACGTTTTTGTCGACGGACAGACGGAGACGATTTGGCGTGCCATCAGCTTTCCACCAACGGCCAACATGCGGTTGGCTTTCATTAGGGCGATCAAATCTGGAAAACCTGACCATATTACCTGTGAATCTATTCGGTCGATTCCATTTCAACTCGGAGGAGTTGAAACCACTAAATTTCTCGAAAATAGGTATCATTTCTTCGGCAGTTAACAAGCCAGACTTCGAAACGTGCTCAACAAACTCTGCGTTGGTCATGGTAAAAAATCGAAACTCGTGGACCAACCTTCCAATAATAGACCTTCGGTTCACACTTGTTGTCTCTAAGTTCTTGAGCGAACATTGGAAATCGATCCAATGCAGGGCAGCTTGAAAGAGTTCTACCTCTTTTATATGCAGATAGTCTCGCTTAAGCAATTTGTACATGGTCGTTCGACTGATGTTATTGAAACCGTGAGAAGCTACCACTTCGGTTGCATTGAATTGTATAAATAGCCAACAACGTTCTTCCAATTCGGTATTAGCATAAAGAGTGGCCAGGTCCAAAGACGTCAGCACATTCTCAGGGGTGAAGTTTGTCACCTGGAAATCAACACATACCTTGCTGAGCGAGGGAAGAATGTATTTGTTCGCTAGATCAAAGGTCCCAGCAATATTTTCCATCGTTAATGTGCACTCTTCTGTGTATAGAAATCTTAAAAGCTGTTCAAAACAATCCTGGTCTGTATCAGGTAAATGGACAGTAGAATCTTTCACAGCCAAGCCACCATTAAACATTGCATCGAATACAGCACTACTTGTGCACAAGACATAACGATGAGCGTAGAATATCGTGTCTGAACCTTCGCAAGTAAAGCTGATGTCGCTCATGTCTGGATTGTTGAACATATGACGGTTTCTTTCCAAGATAGTATTTTTTGACGACTGCCAGTCCACGTTAGATTGAACGAAAGTCATGTTTATTAAACAATAGAACGGATAAAACGAATACTAAATGACCACAAGATCGTAAGTTATTATCGTAACGGTGTGCGCGGTAATATGATGATCTCGAGCAAATCGTATTAGAGTGTCAATCAAATCAATTAACTTTATTAAATATCTTCTAGCTAACTGTCTAGCCACTGTGGTCTAGCCGAGCCCTCTGACTGAGCCGGGCCTAGGGCTAGGGCTACCTCCTCCGCAAGTCCTTTCCGGGTTAAATATGGCGGTGCCCGAGACCTCGCTGTATATTGCAATTAATCAATTTTGCATCAAATGTGGAATAACAACCAATGGCGTTGCCAGCCTTACGATTTTGCCCAGCTGTGTAAATTTTAAGTTATAATTATTCATGTCTTTAGAAATCTATTGTTTTCACAGTCAGTGAACACCAAAATATTAGCATAGCGGGACAAATCGACAGGCTGGCTACGGAGTTTGGGTTTTGGTCGAGGGTCGAGGGTAGTAAGTCGAGGGTCGAGAGTGAGGTCGAGGGTAAAGTCGAGGGTAAAGTCGAGGGTCGATTTTTATCACATTTTACAATCGGCAATGTCGAGGGTGAAGTCGAGGGTCAATTGTAGAAATTCACAATTTGCAATATTAATTTGCAATTTGCAATGTATTGTTAATAATATTAATATTATATATTATAATTTATATATTGTTAATATTTTCTTCTACGCAATATGCGACACAGCGCAAGCTATACAAATTATATGTATAAGTATACATACAGATTGCAGTTGCAATTTATGAATCTTTGGGCATTATATTTTACAAGTCAGACTTCCAAAACGGGTTAAACTTATTAATTAATTCTCTTGCATGAACATCTTCCCATCTTGCGGTCTCACTTTTTTGTTTTCTGATTCCTGTTATCCGAGTTGTCACCTCGAATTGCCGACATAGTGGTGAGACGATGTGCAATGTGGTGTCGGTTTTCACTTTACTGAACTCTTGGCTTGGTAAATACAGCTTTCTATCCGCTAGCGAATATTTCTACTCGAATCTTTGTTGGACTAAAGATAAATATGCCGAAGAAATTGTATAGCGAAATTGTGTCCGGGCGTTGTAGTAAAAACGAGATTAAGACAGAAAATTCAAATAGTAGCTGGCAGCCAAACTGGCTAAGAGCATTTCAGCACGAGGACGAAGAAGTCGCCCTTCGAATGGCATTGTCATTAAGCAAGGTATGGTTGTATAACATAACTTTGACTCGTTAAAGCATCGATCTGAAGATGTAAATAGACTGTGCTAATCAGACACTAAATTTCTTTCGCGTGTAACGCATACAGGAAAAACAATTAAACGACCCAGGCGCAGGACCCTCCAAGGAACTGAAGGAAGAAACTCCAGTTACAATAATCATTGTAAGTATGGAACAATATGTATTTCAATTGTAAGCAATCACAAGAATAATGTAGAATTATTAAAATAGGTCGACACAAGACACAAATTGAAAGCTAACAGATATATAGGCAAAGGCTGGTTTTATCATCAATGCGAAAATACTTCACGCGCACATGCATTCATGATGAGTTATAGTGATGTTGGCCTTGGTGTCTTAATGTGCACGGCCAGTGCAGTGTCGTTTCTTAAGACATTGAAGTTCGATTTAAATCAGCAAGGATGGTGTTTCTTGAGTATTTATGTAGATAAACGGACCTGTGTTAGTGTGTGTTTGATATATTTCGATACGCGCTATTGCAAAACAGTGGCCAATGTGGCATTTACAATAGTGCAGTATCATATTACTGTTTATGGTTTGCAGGAATATATTGCATAGCATACACCAATATTATCAGTAACAAAATAAGGACATCATATCATTGCCTTCTTTTACTGAAAGACTAAGCAGTTTTTTAAGTTCTTCAAGATCGTCTTACGTAGAACTTTGTGGCACAAAGGACTATGCGGCACAACATATACATGCTTATACATATTTCCTGATGATGACTAAATAAAGTCGAAACGTTGAATGAAAATGCTTACTTTATTCGGAGTTACTATTGTTGTGTATATTATACAGTATATGGCATATATTTATACTACATTATATCGCTGTCTGACGGGCTAAGAGTAATTAGAATTTTCTAGGCATTCCTTGAATATATGTTAGTTAACAGAATTAACTTCCATTTCAAAATGAAATGATTTGGTTCACCGCGTCAAGCTCGAAAATTCGAACATCGGTACTCGTTATGACGTCACATCAGCAAACATGGCGGCTATAAAAGTTCGCATCTGATACCGAGGTTTGAGGGCAAAATTACTCAACTTCTACTCAACACACAAAAGTCATATATACATCAAACCTTTCCTAAAAGACTGAATATTGTTTAGGCTAATAAAAATGAGGTGGAAAATTTCGTTAGCCAACACTTTATATAATCGTTTTCTAAAGTAGGGTGGTTATGGCACTAAACAATGTTATCATTGTTATGTAACATGCAGGTCACGAGTTTATATTTTTCAATCTTTCTATGGTTAAACTCTACGAAATCTCAGATTTTGACATTTCGGGGCACAATCACGACAGCTTCGGCAATAAGTAGATGTATATGTATAATAAGTAGATTGCCGCGTGGTACTTATTTGCTATGAAAGTATCAAAACAGCAGAAATATAGTTATATTAATCATTTGTGTGTTAACAAAACCGCCATTTAATAGAATAAAAATTAAAAATGAAATAGAATATACAATATAAATGAATGTATACTAAATAAAATATATATTACTACATTACATTATATACATTACAACCTGAGTTTTCTTTATAGAGCGATGATAGTACTACTGAAGGTGAAGAAAACGAAACGGGGGCCCAAAGCCCATCTATCTTAGATTTTTCGGCCTTCAGGGATGTTACAATCTCAAGTGGTCACAAAAGTTGTCATAACAAGGTATGGAATGGTCTAAATGATCTAGTTAACACTACAGGGTGTATAAAAAACTGCAACCACTTAATATTCATATATATTCGCTTCTATCCATTCACAAAATTTCATAGGCCCATGGGATTAAGGTTGCGCTTTTTTGATACAACCTGTATATGTAACGATAATCTAAATAGGAAACATATTTCTTCAGAAATTAGATCGCTTCTTCTTAAACAATTATCTCATTGGTATAAAAGCAGCTAACTTTCTATTAGCCAATCCTTGTAGTACTGATACTCCTGCACCCAGAGCAACTTCCCCCTAGCCGTTATGTAGAGTTTCTGCCTGACATTTAGCAAAACGAATCAATATCAAATCGATTACATATGGTTAACACCTTCGTCCACCTTACCCGATTGCACAGTTAGGCGTTAGCTCTGTCGATCGCGGGAGGGGGGGCTTGGTACTGTTACTTGGAGCCAGGTTGAGATCCGCATCTAAAGCTGAACAATTTCCCTCCCCCCAAATTCCCTCCGCTCCGTGATTTGCCACTCGCCTATCCCATTCAGTCACGTGGTTTTCCTGACGTCACGACCCGACGTCACTAGACATGTTTCCTCGCTGTTAATCTTGGTTATTACATAACCCCATTTTTCGTGATTTAAGACACAGCGTACTAGAAGAAGATCTCCAGAGTTCGAATCTTGGGATGAGGAAGACTACAATCCTGGTATTCCTGTCCTACCATTAAGCTAAATAGCTTAAAAAGTTCCTTCCGCTGAGCCATCTATACGTGTCAGTGAAAGTTTGGAAGATGACAACGATATCGTAGAAAAGCAGACGTTTGAGTCGAGTGACGAGTCATCAGTTAAGAAGGACAATAACCATGTCGTGAAGGACGGGCAAGATAAAAAGAAAAGGAAAGAAGAAAAAGGTAGTTTACTCACTATTTTTGATTAATTCTCTTGGATATATTCAAAAATTTTAAAAATCAAATTTTCATTCGTTTTAACCTTGTGAACACATGAACCGGACGAATTCAAGCACGGTTCCAAATATGTCCGGTCCCGTGTGAACGTAGCGTTAATCGCCACTTATGTATATGTATCCTGAGCGGGACACTCGAGTTAACAATCGAGCGGAGCACTGACTAACGGAATGATTTATTATGTGTATGTTACCACAGGCCGGAAGACGGTGTCCACATCTTCAACTGAATGCAGTGACCGCACCAGCGACAGCGATATTAGTAGCTGCAGTGAAACCTTTCCAAAACAGAGAAAAATTGCCGTAGATTTATGGGAGAACGTTGAAAAGAAGCTCGTGGAGAAACTGCCTGTTGATATTAATGGTCTTTCCGCTTTTAAGATCAAAGAACTCTCCACAAAAAAGAAAATGGTATCGGCTTTAGTCGACGGCAGGAAATGGAAAAAAAATTGTCCGACGAACTGGACTGGCCATTCCCGTGTGCGGTACGCGGACTGCAAAGGCTCGTTCAAATGCATCGAACCAAGATGTCCTTACAAGGTGCAGTATGGGATCGTGAATACGAAGCAGTTCGATAACTCGAGAGACGGTAATGCCAAATGCCGCGTTTGTGGAAAAAAGGCAGAACATGTTCCATGTAACGCTCGAAGATATATAAGTTATGGACAAACAAGTGTCACTGTATTTTATTATGGAACCTCTTTAACGAAGCGTTAAAGAAGGTTTCGGAAAGTGACGATACACAGTTTAATCCCGCGGGGTGGTGCACCGATATGGCAGGCGCGAATCTAGCTGGGCTTGTTAGAAATAGTATATATAACATAAGTAATGCATGAATACCATATAAGGTCAAGCATGTTAATTATTCAGTAGAGTCACGTGATACTATTTTAAAACTCTGATTTTGTTGCGTTCGCACGAGGCTTTTGTATTTCATATATTTTGTTCTTATTAAATGTTTCATTATGGGTAAGTTTGTATTCTTTCGTTCGATAATTTCAACAGGTTATGGGCCCAGAATGCTAAGGTCCACTTTGGCGATTCGAACGAATGTTTTATATATGATTTAAAACGAGTATTTTATTGAGCCGCATTTCAAGCGGATAATATGGCTGATATGGCGATGAATTCGACGTTGAAGTTCGCGAAATTAAATGGTACGAATTACCGTACGTGGTCGTTTAATATGCGTTTACATCTGGAAAGCCTTGATCTGTTTTCGCATGCAGATGGTACGGCCGTAGCTCCGGAGGAAGATTGGGCATTACGAACATTTAATTCTGGTGCGAAGAAGGCGTGGAGCCATATCTGTTTTGCCATTGAGCCCGCACAGCAAATACACGTGAGGGGTACGAAAACCGCGAAACAAGCATGGGATGCTTTGAAAAATCAGTTTGCGCGTGAGTCCTTGTTGCAAAAGGTGAGGCTACGACAACAATATTATTCTTGTTATTATCGCTCTGGTGATAATATGTTAGAGCACATCAGTCGCTTACGATCACTGCATGACCAACTGAGAGAGATGGGGGTGGACATCGATGAGAAGGAACTGGCAATGACACTACTTGCTAGCTTGCCTGAAGAGTTCAAACCATTGATAACCGCTCTGGATGCTGTTGGTGACGAGAGTGTGTCGTATGAAAAGGTGAAGAATATGCTTTTGAATGATATGGATCGTAGCAAAGATGCAAAAAGATCGGAGGATGCTTTTTCTGCTAAACGAGACAAGCGTAGAAACCAACGACATGGTAATGTATTTCGTGGTAAGTGCCATAATTGCCATGAGATTGGACATTTTGCACGTGATTGCCCGAAACGAGATAAATTACATGATTCGAAGGGCGGTGATTCGAAAGGAAAAGAATCTAAGGAAAGAGATCAAAGGAAATCGGCTCGTCGTGCTGAACATGGTGATCATGATAATATTAATGAGGATGAAGCATTGCTTACTTCCAGCTCAAATCATAAATCGGGATGGATCATTGACTCTGGGGCAACGCAGCACATGACATACGAGAAGGGCAGATTGTCGGATTATGTCGAGTTCAAGGAACCGTGTACTGTTAATCTGGGAGACAATCGTACCATATTCGCATATGGGAAAGGAACTTATCGCATGGTTGCTGACGTTGATGATCATGAACAAGGCATAAGTTTACGTGATGTTTTGTACCTACCCGATTTGGAGAAAAACTTACTGTCAGTTAGAGCGATGATAAAGTTAGGTGCTACTGTTCAATTTGACAACGAGAAATGTGAGATCAGACGAAACTCGAAGTTATTAGCCATCGGTGAATTATGTGGAAAGCTTTACATGCTAAAAATTGTGATGGATGAGTATGTTAATGTTGCTAAAGAAGATTCGGACATGTATCTTTGGCACTGTCGGTTTGGTCATTTGGGAATGGAGAACATTTCAAAATTGACAAAGAATGATATGGTCCAGGGAATGGACAATGCCAAAGATGGGGGAGAAAGTTCAACATGTGAATCGTGTATTATGGGAAGACAACATCGCGCACCCTATCCAAAAGGCATACCCTATCGAGCAACTGAGCCCTTTGAAATCGTGCACAGTGACATATGTGGTCCAATGCATGTTGATTCACTTGGAAAATCACGGTATTTTGTCACTTTAATTGATGATTATTCCAGATATACTCAAGTGTATTTCATCAAACGTAAGGACGAAGTACTAGGAAAGTTCAAAGAGTATGTGAACTATGCACGCACTTCTAGAAAGAATGTAAAAGTTCTCCGTTCTGATAATGGTGGAGAATATTGTTCGAAAGCCTTTGACATGTTTTTGAAAGAGAATGGTATTGTACACCAAACGTCTGTTCCATATAATCCTGCTCAAAATGGTGTGGCCGAACGTAAGAATCGGACTGTTATGGAAACCGCTAGTTCAATGATGTTCCATTCAAAGATGCCGAAAGAATTTTGGGCTGAAGCTGTTAGTACTGCAGTGTATGTTCGTAATCGTAGTCCTACTAGTTCATTGGAGAAACATTTGACACCGTTTGAATGTCTTTTCAATTGTAAACCAGATGTCTCGAATATGAGAGTATTTGGATGCATAGCATTTGCACATATTCCTCAGGATCTACGAAAGAAGTTAGAAGAGAAGTCTCGAAAATGTGTGTTCATGGGATATCCTGAAGGGACAAAAGGTTACAAATTATACGACTTATCCAAAAAGTCTTTTATACGAAGTCGAGATGTGATATTAGATGAAAAGAAATTCCATGACTTCAACTGTGAACATTCATCAAAACCGAGTTCTGAGTTCTTCTATCCAGGAGAAGAAGATGTTCGAACTGAACCACATATCATTCCAGTTGATGCTGTAAATGACGAAATTCCTGATAATGAAGATAATCAACACGTTAATATTGAAAATAACATTCCTGTTGATGAACACCACAACAATCCAGTGGGAGCAAGTTATGAGGATAATTTCATGCGAGAAGTTGAGAATTTAAATCCGCAAAGACAGCGAAGACCTCCAGCAAGATTCGATGAAGAACTGTACATGACTGATAGTCTTACAGCTGATATAGATGAACCAGTGAGCATACAAGAAGCGTGGAGTGGAGAACACTCGAATGATTGGAAAAAGGCAACAAACTGTGAGTATGAGTCACTCATTATTAATGATACTTGGGAACTTGTTCCACCTCCTGAGGGAAAGAACATTGTCGGTAGTCGCTGGGTTTTTAAGATAAAACATGGCGCCGATGGTTCTGTCGACAAATTTAAATCTAGGTTGGTAGCGCAAGGTTATTCACAGTCAGAAGGGGTTGACTTTGAAGAAGTCTTTTCACCTGTGGTTCGTTATACATCCATCAGATCGTTACTAGCTGTAGCAAACGTATGCGACTGGGAGGTGCATCAGATGGACGTTAAGACCGCGTTCTTACAAGGGGACCTAGATGAGGAAAATATATGAAGCAACCGGAGGGTTATGTCAATCAAGAACACCCGGATTACGTATGCAAGCTGAATAAAAGTATTTATGGCTTAAAGCAAGCTGCAAGATGTTGAAACTTTGCGATAGACACTTTTCTGAGATCAAACGGGTACAGAAAGTGCAGTTCAGATCCATGCATATATATTAAGTCAGTCAAGCGGAGATGAAAAAATTGATTTTGTGATCCTTGCTCTCTATGTGGATGACATCCTGTGGTTTTCCAACAACATTCAGATGTTAAAGAAAGAAAAAGCAGCTCTCGCCAAAAGATTTAAGGTTGACGATATGGGGGAAGTTAGTTTTGTTCTTGGAATGTCCGTGAAACGAGATCGTAAGACAAGAACAATGTCTATTAGTCAGCCGAGATACTTAGAAGGAGTCCTGAAAAGATTCCAAATGGAGAATTGTAAACCTGTTTCCACACCCTTGGAACCTGGAAGAAAGTTCGAATCACTATCTGAAAGTGATACACCAGTTGATACTCAACGATACCAGTTGGTGATTGGTTGTTTAACGTATGCAACTACTGCAACTAGACCGGATTTGGCAGCAGCAGTTGGTATTCTGTCAAAATTCATGTCTCGCCCAGGAAAAGAGCACTGGCAAGGAGTAAAAAGAATATTACGTTATGTAAAAGGGACAGTGAATTATGGTCTTGTATTTACTGCAAGTAGTGATTAGCCTGTGTTATCTGGATATTCGGATGCAGATTGGGCTGGTGATCAAGAAACACGACGTTCAACATCGGGGTATGTTACCTGCATTCAAAGTAACATCGTTAGTTGGCGTAGCAAGCGACAATGTTCTATTGCAAGATCAACAACTGAGGCAGAATATATAGCTTTAAGTGATGCATGTCAAGAAATCGTTTGGCTTCGAAGATTATTAGCTGATATTGGTCTTAAACAAGATGCTCCAACAACAATCTTTGAGGACAATCAAGGGGCAATACAATTGTCGAAAAATCCAAGGTTTCACAAGCGCCACGAAACATATTGACATTTCATTTCATTTCATTAGAGAACAAGTAGATCGTAATATAGTATGTGTTAAGTATTGTTCGACTAATGACATGTTGGCTGATATAATGACGAAAGGTATAGCTAGAAACACTTTTGAGCGATTCAGAGACATATTAGGTATTAAAAACATTGAGTAGGGAAGACAATCTTAGATATATTGAAGTTAACTTTATTAATATGGTATTATCATTAAGTGGGAGTGTTAGAAATAGTATATATAACATAAGTAATGCATGAATACCATATAAGGTCAAGCATGTTAATTATTCAGTAGAGTCACGTGATACTATTTTAAAACTCTGATTTTGTTGCGTTCGCACGAGGCTTTTGTATTTCATATATTTTGTTCTTATTAAATGTTTCATTATGGGTTAGTTTGTATTCTTTCGTTCGATAATTTCAACAGGGCTTACAGCAGTATATGGTAGGGACGAGCTGAGACGGATTCGTGCGAATTCCATTTTAAAGACCATAGGAATAAAAAGGCTCAAAAGTTAAGTCCAGATAGCGCGGAAGAGTTTAAAGAATTGTGTGACGAAATTATGCAATCCGTCACAGAGGCCCGTTACAACAGTGTCAAGGTAAGATTTGATTCATTTATTTCAAGCAAGGAGGAACATAAGTTTTAAAAACTTGGTTAGCATGGTGGCACGATAGGAGGGGGTTTATTTTCCGTGCTTTTGCCCCTCAAAATGCACCTCGAATGAACCAAGCTGAGGTGATTCACGCTGGCTGGTCCCACAAAGAGTATTAACAAGGGTCGTACACATATTCCTGAAGATCACTGTTTAACTTCGTCATTATTGGTTTAATTTATAACACATATTTCACAACACACGCACTTGAAAAACATTGCGTAACTAATGCGGCAATCCGATATTGCGAAACA